TACCATCAACCTCATTCTTCACCAAGTCGTTACAGCGATAACATTTTTCATAGAGACATTTGCGAGTGATGAGACATTTCTTTTGTGTTCCAGTGATTTTCTTAGTGACATTCAGTGACTCTTGATCAGACTCAGTGTTTGTTTGCAATAATCTTTTTTTCTCCTTAATTCAGTGTTAATTTTCGTGCATTATTTTATGTCTGTTGTGTTGTGTGTCTTTTTATACACTTGAAGTAAGTACGTAGTGTTTTTCCTTTGTTGTGTGTGCAACATATGTGCAGTATAGAACTTGTGTTTACACTTCAGAATCACCTAGTGTTCTCAGTATTCCAGTGAATTAATTCAGTAATTTATTTAGTTGTATTCTGCATCACAACTCAGTGTTGTCTCAGTTATATTTTTTTTTCATCCCAGCATTTGTGTATTCTTGTTTTGTTCCCTGTGTGTTGAACATTTTTTTTTTTTTGTGTTCATATCCTTTCATTTAGCCAGTGTCTAATTTGTCTTATATCCACAGACAATAGTGCCATTATTTTGTGCAAGCAAGAAATTATCAAAGTTTTCACACATCAAGTTTCATTGCAAGAAAATTCTAGTATTGTGTTTATGTTGATGTGTTGTGTTGTGTTCTGCATCACTGTAAGTGTTCAAACTTTTTTGTTCTGTGTTTTAGCACCTATTATTTTTCATGTTTCATTGAACAAATTCAAATTCACTCTTAGTGCAATTTTTAAGTTCTTCTTTTAGAGTAAATTGTTCTTTTGCTTGTTAAGTGTTGTTTAAGCTGCAGTTAAGAGTTAAAGTGTTCATTCCTTGATATATTTCTTTTCTTGTGTGTGTAATATTTGTTTTAATGATTGCACATTGACTCATTTTGCAATAATTCTTGTGCAAATATTGTGTTGCCATTAAAGTTTTTCTTGCAGAGATTTTGTGCAGTGTTGTGGAGTACTTTTTGATTAGCAATTGTCATTTGCAATATTGCTACAGTTTATTTCAGTGCAGTTTCATATGCTCTGTTCTGTGCATAATATTTTATTCTTTGTGTGCCATTTTATTTTATTTCAGTGAATTGTGTCCCAGTTTGTTTTATTTTTGCACAAGCTTTATTGAGTCCATTTTATCATTTTATTGTGTATTTCCCTATTGCATTGAAAGTAAAGACAACTAACTGTGCCATTCATTCAATTTAAAGTAAAAGTTGAGCAAATTAGATTTGAGTAAAGTACAAGTTCTCTTGATTTTCAAAGTGTTGTTCATTCAGTTGCATATTTTTCTTGCGCGAGTTCTTTGCTTACTATGTGACCTGTCAATTTTTAATTACTTATGCAGAATTGTTAAGCATTTTTTTTTCCCCATTTAAGTTCACTGTGTTGTGTTTTCCTCAGCTACATTTTCTTTTGTTTCTCTAAACTCTTGTTTTACATTTTGCAAATATGTCTCAAGTTTTCTCAAGCGATGCCTCAGCACATGCTGCTAGTACAACCATTAATGCGTCAGCCCAAAATTCGAGTAACTCCTTATCAAACGATAGATACACTCAGACTTCTAGCCTGCGTAAGTTTAGTCGTGATCCGTATGATGCTATGCCATTGTTCAATGGTAACCCAGACAACCTTGAAGGTTGGTTTACCGCTGTTCGAGCCAGAGCTGATGCTTCAGTTGATGGTCTTCCATCTGAGAGTTGTTTAATCAGTATTGGAAAGGAGAGTCTAGCCCATTCTCCAGCAGCCTCACATGTATTCAACTTAATTCATATGAAGGACTTTCAAGATCTGACCAGGTGGCAAGATTATGAACAGTTAATTCGCAACTATCTCGAACCGGTGCGAGAAACCGATCCGTTCGTCGTTCTCAAAGAATCAGTTTGCACAGCTCCGAGACCAGAAGAGTCATTAGATGAGTTTGCTCTTTGTCTTAATAACCTAATGTCCTCATTCGTTAAAGCAGGTCAAAATTCCAAGTACCTTAAAGATAGTGATAAACCAGCCCTTGATGGGTTTGCCAAATTAGCCGCATTCGGAGTTATTAAACAACTAATGCCACCGACATCTATGTATGTGTACAATTCAAGTCCGCTAGATGCTACTATGGGACCGCTCGCAGCTCTCATCCATGTACGAAATTTGTGTCCCGAGGGAACCTTCCCTTATCTTAAGTCTACACCAACCACTTTGTCCACTCCTGTACCTCCTCTAGTTTGTGCTACTACCAAAACTCCCAACCTTAATCACTCGCATCCATCATCCAAAGCTAGTGTTAAGAGCCTTCATTCCCGTAGCACCCGTAGTATGTACAGTACCCACAGTCAAAGAACTTGCTACAATTGTGGTTACCGTGGTCATATTGCTATTAATTGTCAAGATAGTCACCCTAAGAAGCGTCGTACTGATGATGAGTACCAGTCAGATCTTCCCTACTGTACTTATCATAGAATTCATGGACATGACACATCTGAGTGCAATGCTCTCTACAACCTGCAGTACTCTAGATCTTTCTGTGGCCGTTCCAACCGCAGAGCCAGGAGAGGAAACAGACGTCGTGGTTCACAAACTAACCAGAACCAGGCTCATTCTTCCAATTCGGGGAATCCGAGCGCCCAAGTCTACTCGTCCAGTCGTGACAGTAGTAGGTGATAACGAGTACACCATCCCAGTCCAAAATTCCTACGAAGCCTTAGCCAGCCTTGAGAATGACAACCCTGCTGCTGATGCTGCTTCACACGTCTCTGACGTAGAGGAATTTGGGGATGAAGTAGAAAATGCCTTCTCCGATGACAACCCACCTTTCTGTTTGCATATAACTCCTAACGAAACGTTTGGTCCTTTAGTACAAGCTTCTGTCCATAATGTGCCCGTTCATGTGTTCATGGACTCTGGTGCGCAAGTTAATATCATTAGGTCTAGCTTGTTTAAAGAGAAGCAGTTACGACGTGTCCTCCTCGTTGAACCATCTACTGTAACCTCCCTTAGTGGAGTAGCTGGTTCTCTTCTGCGAGTCCGAGGTCAGACTTCGCTCACCTTTACTATCCAAGGCAAAGACTTTACTGCTGCTTTTCTTGTTGTCGACCAGATTACTTTCCCTGGAGACCTTCTACTGGGATTTGCTTCTATGCGAGACTTACGCATTGTGCTTGACCCGTACCGATGGCATGCCCAAATTGACGACTTGATCGTTCCATTTTGGGGTTACCAGCTTGGATCAGAAATCTGCCATACTGCTGCAGAGTATGATGTACGGATTAAGTCCTTACAAGCCAATGCATTCTCCAGTAGCGTACCCAAGCGGTCAGGCACTGGTAACTCTGTCACTCCCATCTGTGTTCCACCTACACCTTCAGACATGCAAGATAGTGTTCCGTTGCCTCAAGTGTCCGAGGACACTCAGACTGCCTTGAGTGCACAGCCTATCCCTGCAATGACTGCTAGTTCGAGTAGTAGTTTCTCCACAGGGGATGCCTTGTTGGAAAACGATTACTTGAAACTAGTAATGCCATCTCTTGTTGATGTCACATGCCGTCTGCAGAAAGACGTCTCTGTTGCGGCTAGTGCTCTCACTAGAGTGTCTGTTGTTGTTCCTAATGTTCCAGATGGTGATAATGTCCTAGTTGACAGTGATTCCTGCAAGGTCAAGGGTTTATTTGTTGAACCTTCCTTACACGTTGTAAGAGACAGTAAGATCCATTTATTCCTTGCTAACACTTCAGGTCACGGTGTTCGTCTCCACTCCACTGTCTCCCCCTGCTTTTAACATTTCTGTCATGATCCCGTCAGTTCCAGCTGCTTTACCCCCTTTCATTCTACGTAATGCCTCACGCACCTCCCCCATACTCACGTCCTGCTCTTATTTAAATTTATTAATGCATAATTGTACACTATATTTGTTGTATGTAAAACTATAATTTATCTCTATAAAAATTTTTTTTTTTTTTTTGGTGAATACTTTTGGGTTTCTGGAACGGATTAATTGTATTTCCATTATTTCTTACGGGAAATATTGCTTCGCTTTTCAAACCTTTCGAATTTAGAACTAGCTCCTGGAATGAATTAAGTTCGAAATTTGAGGTTCCGCTGTATGTACTACCTCCTCATCCTCCCTTTGAATTATACCTGCATAATATTCACACCACACTGCTCTCAAATATGATGATCTCTCACTGCCTCAGCCATTTCCTCAATGCAATATTTCAAGTCTATACCTCACATCCACTCTCCATGGGTAAGTGGAACAGAATTCTTCCCCCATATGCCATGCATGTCGTAAGACGCGACTGAAATGCTGAGAGCAAGGGGGTAGTAACCCCTTCTCTTGTATACATTAATGACCCATTCTCTTGTATACATTACTGAAGTTAAAAAGAGAAACTTTCATTTTTCTCTAAGTCAACCTGCCTAAAGTGGGATATGGCCGGTTTGATGAAAAAACCTCACATCCACATAAAAGTATTAGTACCACAATTCTATGGTATTCTATGACTAAATCCACTGACATTTATTTGCTGTTATTAATGACTCCTTACATAGTATACCAAATGTAAAATAATTTGTTAATTAATATCTACATTGATGACTATTCTACATTATATTACATTATGTACTGCATGATCAAACAAAAATAAAAATTATTATCTTCTGGTGTCAATGAATGAATTGATAAACATGCCAGTGTAAAGTACAAAACTGTTACCAATTTCAAGAACTGGTCTACTCTTGTGGCCTAACCTGAGGCTAATTTTTCCTGTTAAGTTTCTAATCAAACATTTGTTGCTACCTGCAGAACAAATCAGAAAATTTAAAATCATTCCAGCAATATTTCAATACACACACTTAAGATGTCAATGAGAAATGCATCGGTGGGATGAACAGTTATTAAAACAAGACAGGTATCCCGATTCTCAACGAGATTCATCAAAGAAGTATATGAGGTTAACACACAGGTACACACATTCTCAACAAGATATGCATCAATGGGGTATACATGGCTAACACAGAGGTACTCACATTGTCAACAAGAGATGCATCAATGGGGTATGCGAAGAGTTCCTCTTTACTTGTTGGGATCTTATCAATCATACTCTTGATATGCTTGCGTTTTTCCTCTCCACCCCCCTTCTCTTTGCTACCCTTATCCTTGCCTTAAATAAAAAATTAGATTATGTAAGGTGGAATAACAAACACATTATATAATATGTGAATTTTAATCTTTAAGGTCACTTACGTATTAAGTGATGAATATGTATAATGTACTCAAAACTTGTGATTAGTGTTTTATTACCTGGTTCTATTGAATTTCTTAGCAATTTCTGCAAGGGATCTTCTTTGGCACTCAAGGTTCGTTCTAGAAATTAAAACGCAATTCAGTTAATAACAGCACTCAAAGTTCGTTCCAGAAATTAAAACACAATTCAATAACAAAAAAAATCTAAAAATATCACTAAATACTAGGCTTCAATATTAAAGGGAAATTTTACTAATTGTCATCTAGGTAAATAAATAAAAGAACATCTAACACCAATGATAAAGGAAAGAAAAATATTACAAAATTGCCAAACTACATTACTCAAACTAAAAAAAAGTAAACAAGTTCAACAGGTACAGCACATCTCTTTCCTCTCACCTGTTTCTCTAGGTGAGAGGAGATACAGCAGGAGAGGAAGAGAGAAAAAAAAAAAAAAGCAAAGGAGACGAGTGAAAGATGACTTGATGAGGCTCATCTGGAGAGAGAGAGAATACATCTTGGATGAACCCCTCTTGTTTACTAGTGCCTCTATGACTGGTCAGGAACACTTAACCACTCTGACTGGGCTATAATAATACATAATCAGCTCCTTCTCTGGTTCAATAACATTCAAGTATGAACTCATTTGTGCTAAATGTTTTTATGTTATCGCTGTGCTAGATTACCACAACTATGTTGGTACTCTAGAGCTATTTAAGCACGAACACATTTTCATTTGTAAATAAATGTTTTCCATTGCCTTTTCAAGACCTCTTTCCTTTTAAGTCAGCAACTGAAACACTCTTGCTTTTCCTGTTGATGGTGACAGGGAATTTTCCTCGTGTACACTTACCTATCCGAGTTTGCAGTGAGGCAAGCACTAACTCCTGGTTTTATAAATACTTCACTTTCCACAGAATGACATAAATCAGCCTTGTTTCATATCTGCTTGTGTTTTACCTGTGACTGGTTTTGCACTCTTCTACCCTCTCGCCTCAGCCTGAGGACCAGCTTTCCTCTTGACTATTTAGCCAATCAGTCTGTCTGTGATAGCAGCCCACAAGCGAAATTGTAGTAGGTAGTAATTGTAGTCCTAGGTAGTAGGCTGGTAGACAGCAACCACCCAGGGATGTACTACCGTCCTACCAAGTGAGTGTGAAACGAAAGCCTGTAATTGTTTACATGATGGTAGGATTGCTGGTGTCTTGTTTGTCTCATAAATATGCAAGATTACAGGTACGTCTTGCTACTTCTACTTACACTTAGGTCACACTACACATACATGTACAAGCATATACATACACACACCCCTCTGGGTTTTCTGCTATTTTCTTTCTAGTTCTTGTTCTTGTTTATTTCCTCTTATCTCCATGGGGAAGTGGAACGCAATTCTTCCTCCGTAAGCCATGCGTGTTGTAAGAGGTGACTAAAATGCCGGGAGAAAGGGGCTAGTAACCCCTTCTCCTGTATAAATTACTAAATTTAAAAAGAGAAACTTTTATTTTTCTTTTTGGACCACCCTGCCTCGGTGGGATATGGCCGGTTTGTTGAAAGAAAGAATTTCACAAGTCATTTCAAGAGCTTTGAAGGGACTTTACACAGCCATTTGTTCTGTGAGCTGTTTACAATAGTATTGTTATTTTGTGAGTAAAGTAGAATAATTTGAAGCAATGGTTGTTGTGAGTAATCTGAGCAGAATGAAAATGGTCTTTTAGAATTTTTTTTTTTTTGTACTTCCTTCATTTACCAGTGATGATATATATGCTGGTGAATGGTAAAGCCCATAATTAATAATGAGCATTATAAAATGGGTGTAGTGTAAAATTGTAAATTAAAAATCAGTTACCAGCGCCAATATTTCACCTCTTAGCCTTAATTAACATATGGGTTACATGTTGTACATATACAGTACTTTGAAAAATGAGTATAATAGAAATTGTTGTGTTGTTTTTTATTTATACTTTCCTTCCTTTTTTTAACACAATGGTCATTTCCCACCAAGGTAGTGAGAGCCAAAAAAGGAAACGCATTCACCATCAATCATTCAAATCTGGTCTTGCTGTAAATGTATAAACACCTGCAGAACCTAAGTCCCCCTAACCAGGTACCCTGAATTCCTTTATAAATGTTACCCTGCTCACATTCTAACTGCTTGTCAAGCCATGAAATTACTTGTTTCTACTCACTCAAATCTAACATGCTCATATAATCCTATTGTGCTCAAGTTTTTTATCTTTTCAATTTTTCTTTTGAAAATTCACTTAAAATGTTCGTGCTCTGTATCTTCCAACAAATCAAAACCTAAGACAACCTTCTTAACCGAATGAGTCTGACTTGTGATGTTTCACTCCATGCTAAAATATTCGTAGCAGAAATTAAAAACAAAGAAAACATGGATTGGATAGCTAATGAGGCTGAAATAGCAAGCAAAATCATCCTCTAAATAGCCAATCAAATGATTACTTCTCAAATACTGTATATTTTTAAACATATAGTCTCCCATTAAGGTAGGGTGCCTAAACAAATTAGAAAACAACCACTGCCATTCATTCAATTGCTGTCTTGCCTTCTTCCATAACATCCCAGTTCAGACTGCCCTCTGAAATGAAACATCCTTGCCACTCTTTAGCATGCAGGCACTTCCTACCTCCAGGACCTAAATCCAGCTAACCAATTTTCCAGAATCCTTTCACTCAACAGCACATCATAAAAACCACCTGCCTCCACTTATTCCATTTTAATGTAACCTAAAAAGACTACACAAGACTAACAATTATGACAAGTATGTTGCTATATTTATCAGCTTAACTTGGTGTATAAAAGCTGCCCAAGATAAAATAAAGGATATTTCATCTTAATGATTGTAATTTGTAGTAACATCTTGTGAGTACATATGTTAAACTCATTTAGACAGTACGTATATACAAGTTTACTGAACATCATGTAATATAAAACAATAAACACAAATATTTACCTGGCAAAGGGAGTTTCTTCTTTTTTGATGGAAGGTCATCATCATCTTGGTTGAAAACATCTTTTACATCATATTTCTTTCTCTTTGGTGGCTGAGGTGTAGTGTCTGCTGATGACATATACTCATCTGGATATAAAATCAAAATTTAGATACTTGTGCTTAAATAATTATCACTACTATACATACATTAACAGCATAGAAGTGCAAGCAATTAATTACAGCCCTGGCTGATCAAGCCATCAAATCTCCAGGGGTCCTAGTCAAGAGACCGGGCAGCCATCAATCAACAACCAGGCCCCAGGTTAGATACAGCCATCACAACATACCTCTGGACTGAGAATTTTCCTCCATTTCTGGACTAGGCTCAGGGGGTGCATCAGACATATTGTGGCCATCTGAGTCAGTGTCAGATTCTGCTGCAGACATGGGAAGTGGAGGCTGTTCTGGAATGTCTGGTAGTTGTGGAGGTGGAGGTTCTACTGGAACAGGAGTTGGCGGTGGAACTTTACGCTCTGCAGGTTTAATCAACAACTTGGGCTTGTACTGTTCCTCCCTCTCTGCACATGCCTGAAATTAAAGTGCACACTTTCATACATTAAAATACCAAACATAAAACTTTCTTATGCTGAATGCAAAGAAAAAAAATCTTTAATAATGTGATCTGCATAGTGATAATTAAAGTATTAACCAAAATTTTATCTAAAGATGATTTATTAAAATTTTGAAAATAAACACAAGAAAATGGGCCATTACTCAAGTTCAATCTTGTGCAGTAGCTGTAATTAATCAACAAAACTTACATCATTATGACACCACAGCAAGTCTAATCTCAACTATAATGTAAGCCTGTCATCAGATCATGAAAGTACACATTGTACTCTTGACACATTACATAACACACACTATCCTCTACCTTTGACTTTCCTTACCCTTGCAGCACAGTTTGAGGCCAGGCATCCTTTTTTAATTTTTTGGAATAATTCAAGGCTTTTCTTGCCCCATGGGAAAATGCGATTATGAAACCATTTTATTTGTTGAAACATTGTTATGCTAGAAATTTATGTGAAAATGACAGTTTTTAAAACCCATGTTATCCCTGGAACGAGAGAATGTATATATATTTTTCGAAGTTTTTATTAGACAAGAAATACTGATAATTTTACAATCACAATACAGAGAGATGCATGATAGTAAAACTAATTTTATTCAAGGGTAAGCAAATCACGTCACTCATCCATTACACGTCCAACTGGTGGGTCTAATATACGTTCACAAATGTGCTGATATTATTTATACAATTATTACAACAATGCACGACAGTAAATCTTCTATTTTTTGTGTGAATAAAAATACTTTGTGTGAATTAAAAATTAAAATGGAATTCATGTGTGAAGCCTGGGAACTTAACTAATGAACAAAGGAAAAGTTATTTTAGTGCAAGGCATGCCTACATTGTTTATTCTGGACCCTATTTTGAAATTTGAATATTTTTTATATTTGTGTGAAACAGGCCAAATTACCAATTTCTGATCACTTTATTGGGTAGGTGAAATAGTTGACTGACTGGTTTCTTGTGCTCAATCGATAAAATGGAAGATGTACTAGAGAAATAGCTAAGAATTTAGTCTACTGGAACAATGTAATTGGCCTAAAATAAGAGCTCAATGCGGGCAAAATCACCAACCTATAAATGTTGCGGACACAGCAAAATTCGCGAAAGAGTAATGCCATCAATTTTCCATAAAATTTTGTGGTTTAGAAAAACAAGCAAGCAAACACTAGGACATATTTATTAGAAAACATTTTGGACCTGGGACCTAGATCACTTCTAACATACAAAGGTTAAAAAGACAGTACAGTGGACCCCAACGAATTCGCAGCTTCAGTAATTCGCAGACTTTTCCTTAGAACCTAACTTACTTTTGTTTGCGAAAATTCCCACAAATTCAAGGAATTTTTTTTGGGTTTTTTTCATGGCAATACAGTGGTCCCTCAATTATCGTCCATAATCCATTCCTGGAAGTGGGACTATTATCGAAATGAACGATTTACGAATCAATTTTCCCCATAAGAAATAATGTAAATTCAATTAATCTGTTCCTGACACCCAGAAGTATTAAAACAAAATTTTTTTTTACATGAAATATAGATGTAGTACATAAACAATACAGTGGCACATGATGAATTAAACATTAACAGAATAACACTTACCTTTATTGGCGATTCTTCTTAGTGTATGGGAGACTAGAGAAGGAGACAGATTGGATTATTTACTGTTTGGAAGGGGAATCCCCTTCCATCAACACCTCAGGTACCAATTGCTTTTCTGGGGTTACTTCTCTTCTCTTTCTTAATGCCACTAGGACCACCTTGAGAGTCACTGGAGTCCTGTCTTACAAAAAAAAATGTCCAGAGAGCTCTGTTTCTGGCGTCTCTTTAAAACTTCTCTAAAATGGGCCAAGACTCTGTCACTGTACAAGTTGCCGATATGGCTTGCAACATCCTTCTCTGGGTGATGTTTCTCCATAAATCTTTCCATCCTACCCCACATTTCAAAAATCTCCTTAATTTCTGAAGACGGCATCTTCCTCCATCTCTCTTCCTCCTCCTCTGCAGCAAGATTCTGAGCTGCGATCTGTTGCTCTTCCTGCTGAAGCTCTTGCAGCTCCTCAGTGGTTAGCTCTTCTTTGTGGTTCTCCACCAACTCTTCCACATCCTCCAAACTCACATCCAACCCCATGGAACTCCCCAGTGCAACAGTAGAGTTCACAACTGACATAGGCTCATCATGGGCTGCCTCAAACCCTTCAAAATCACTCTTGTGGACACAATCTGGCCACAATTTTCTCCAAGCAGAGTTCAAACTCCTGGTAGTCACTCCCTCCCAAGCCTTACCTATAAGGCTTATGCAATGGAGAATACTTAAGTGTTCTTTCCAAAAATCTCGTAGGGTCAAGTGAGTGAGAGAGAGGTCACATTCAAGCACCTTTCAAACATTGCTTTGGTGTAGAGTTTTTTAAAGTTTGAAATGACTTGCTGGTCCATGGGCTGGAGGAGAGGAGTGGTATTCGGGGGCAAAAACTTTACTGTGATGAACCCAAACTCCTTCAGAATTAGGTCATCCAAGTTTGGAGGATGAGCAGGTGCATTGTCCATTACTAGCAGGCACTTGAGATCCAATTTCTTTTCCAGGAGATACTCCTTCACACTAGGGCCAAACACTTCAGTGAACCACTCGACGAAAATGTCCCTTGTGACCCATGCCTTACTATTAGATCTCCAAAAAACACACAATTTACTTTTCATAACATTGTTTTTCTTGAACACTCTGAGATTTTCAGAATGGTACACTAGTAATGGCTTCACTTTGAAATCCCCACTAGCATTAGCACAGAACATTAGCCTCAGCCTGTCTTTCACAGGCTTAGTGTCCTGGCAGCGCGTTTTCTTCCTGAGTAATGAAGGTCCTCTTTGGCATTTTCTTCCAAAAGAGGCCTGTTTCATCACAATTGAACACTTGTTCAGGTTTCAGTCCTTCACTGTTTATGTACTCCTTGAATTCATGCACATATTTTTCAGCCACCTTGTGGTCCGAACTGGCAGCCTCACCATGCCTTACCACACTGTGTATGCCAGTATGCTTCTTAAATCTCTCAAACCAGCCTTTGCTGGCCTTAAAATTCACTCACATCACCACTAGTTGCAGGCAATTTCTTTACCAAATCGTCATGCAACTGCCTAGCCTTTTCACAAATAAGCGACGTCATAAAACTATCTCCTGCTAATTGTTTCTTGTTTATCCACACCAATAATAACTTCTTAACATCTTCGAGTACTGGTGATCTCATTTTTGTCAGCATATTTACCCCTTTGCACCAACAGCATCCTTGATTTCCTTTTTCTTGGCTATGATGGAAGATATGGTTGTACGGGATTTGTTATACATCCCGGCCAGTTCACCCACACGTACGCCACTATCATATTGTTCAATGATGTTTTTCTTAAATTCAATCGTATTTCTCACCTTCTTTACCAAAGGCTTGGCACTAGGAGCTTTCTCTGGAGCCATGGTAGCTTATTTAGCACTTGCAAGCACTAAAATAAATGGAATATTATGAAATATTTCGCTGGAGCACGTGAGGGGACTGTCGCTCACTGGTAAACAATGGCACACTGGCTGGAAAGGGAAGGCCCAGGCGGCTCAGAGCGTGAGTACGCATCCCGGACGAAGGACTATTAGTGAGTTACCGGACCATTTGCGAGCCAATATTTAAGACGAAATAACAGGACTATTTCCGAAATGGACGACTTTCAGGCCGGACGATTATTGAGGGACCACTGTATATAATTTTTTATGCATTTTAATGCTAAATATGAAGAAAAATATAATTTAATAATTTTGTAACATAAATGCAGCCTCTCCTCACTTAACGACAGAATTCCGCTCCTGAGACCGCGTTGTTAAATGAGGAGCATACTATAATGGTAGTGAGTTTGTGTCTACCATCTTTGATATTGTTTTAATGTCACCTTTGCGCCATTTCTGGTATATTTTTAAATATTTATACAGTAGTGTACTGTATACTGAAATAAACAGAATAGAGGAAATCAGCTCTAATAAACATTATTTAGGTATGAATACTGGTCAGAGAGCCCGCTTAAAGTCCGAGGTGTCAGTAAACGAGTACGTTGCTAAGTGAGGAGAGGCTGTATTAATGTAAATTCAGCTAAATTTCTATATAAAATATAATACTTTTCCTAAATTAAATTATTAAGGTGTATTTACCAAAGAAAATGGGCTTGCATGAATTACTGTACACGTACATACTATGGTGGTAACGTAAGTATTTTACATACAGTACTGTATGTGGGTTTATTTTTACTTTTTTTTTTAAGGGTGACGTATGAAGCCGAGTTTGAAATTAAATTTAAGTGTTTTGGGAGTATATTAAGGGTTTAAACTACAAAAATAGGCATTTTTTAACCTCGTCCAGAATTCGCGGGTGGTCTTGGAACATAACCCCTGTGAATTGGGGGGACTACTGTATATACAGGCAGAGAGTGAGGTGTGAGTGACTCATGGTGACCTGACGAATGCCATGTTGGGAGGAGGACAGGTAAACGACTAGATCACGACTCCTGCGTTGTTAGATAGGTGGTACTTTGCCTTGTTGAGTATCATGTATGCTAATGTTTTAGAAATTTTGTAGTTTCCAGTGTTACGCTCTATGGTGTCAGTAATGTCCTCATTGCTTACGTGTTTTTCCAAGTCAACTTGCTGCTATTTATTACCAAGGTTTATACCATCAAATTTCGTACCTTTTGTTTCATTATCTTTAGAAAAAGATTCTCTACTATTTCATATAAAAAAAAAAGAAGTTTGAAAATTCTTGGATGCTGAAAACAAGTTTCAGATTGGGGGTCTGGACAATGAAAGGGTTAAACACCCAAATGAATGACAAAAACATTCACTTTTTTTTTTTTTAACTTAAGTGATATAGTAATCCATGGAGAAGTGAAAAAAAAAAATCCTTCCTGTGTAAGCCATGGGTATTGTAAAATGCTATTAAAATGCTGGGAGCAAAGGGCTGGTAACCCCTTCTCCTGTATAAATTACTAAACGTAAAAAGAAAGCTTCATCAAGTATTTTTTTTCTTTTTTGGGTCATCTTGCCTAGGTGGGAGATGGCTAGTGTGTTAAACGAAAAAAGAAATGGAATGAAATAAACAATGACACAATGGCAGCAGTCATGGAGGGATTCAAAAAGATACATGACAATTCTCAAACATATCTGTGAGCCAAAAGTGAAAAGGTATAAGCAAAAGCTGTAACTGAATCTCTTTTACCCCTGCTCCAAACACTCAAGTAATCACAAAGGTAAACACTTAAGAAAACAGGCAATTTAAAAAAAAACAAAAAAACAGACTATTTGTGTCTTATTTGTTAATGAATTGGAGGATGCCCACATATTCCCTACATATTCATCAATTATGGAAGCAACACAAACTTAATTACTGACTTATATGTGGGGACAAAAAATGTTATCTATGGAGGCAAAGAAGGGAATGTATGAAAGTATAGTAGTACCAACACTCTTATATGGGTGTGAAGCTTGGGTTGTGAATGCAGCAGCGAGGAGGCGGTTGGAGGCAGTGGAGATATCCTGTCTAAGGGCATGTGTGGTGTAAATATTATGCAGAAAATTCGGAGTGTGGAAATTAGGAGAAGGTGTGGAGTTAATAAAAGTATTAGTCAGAGGGCTGAAGAGGAGTTGTTGAGGTGGTTTGGTCATTTAGAGAGAATGGATCAAAGTAGAATGACATGGAGAGCATATAAATCTGTAGGGGAAGGAAGGTGGGGTAGGGGTCATCCTCGAAAGGTTGGAGGGAGGAGGTAAAGATTTTGTGGGCGAGGGGCTTCGACTTCCAGCAAGCGTGCGTGAGCGTGTTCGATAGGAGTGAATGGAGACGAATGGTATTTGGGACCTGACAATCTGTTGGGGTGTGAGCAGGGTAATATTTAGTGAAGGGATTCAGGGAAACCAGTTATATAGCCGGACTTGAGTTCTGGAAATGGGAAGTACAATGTCTGCACTCTAAAGGAGGGGTTCAGGATATTAGCAGTTTGGAGGGATATATTCTGTATCTTTATAGGTATATGCTTCTAAGCTGTTGTGTTCTGAGCACCTCTGCAAAAACAGTGATTATGTGTGAGTGAGGTGAAAGTGTTGAATGATGATGAAAATATTTTCTTTTTGGGGATTTTCTTTCTTTTTTGGGTCACCCTGCCTCAGTGGGAGATGGCCGACTTGTTAAAAAAAAAAAAATGCTATTTAAGTATATTTTCTAACCTTCTGGAAGGCAGCATCTGGGTTATCATGACCTTCAGCCATGATTTTGGCTCTTAGTTCTTCCAGCTCTTCCTTCTCTTTGACGCGATCTCGTGTGTCCAACTCCTTCTCCTGCTCTCGTTCCATCAATCTTCTTTGGAATGCATGTCCCCTAGTTTTGCAAAAATTAAGACAGTAAATATAAATTTTGCTAAGAGGACCATGTGCAACAATAAAAATGACATTACACTGTTTTAAGCCACAACACCCTCTATAAATCAGTTACCTGCATTTTCTAATTACCAACTGCTATCAATACCTTCATTCATCAAAAATTCCTGTTTTCAGTGTTTCTCTCCTTTATTAAATGCAAACTGCTCATGTATGAAAATTTTTATTATTTTATCAGTGATGTTTCACTTTCAAGATTAAAAACTTACTGTACATACTTGCCTCTGACAAGACAGTGACAGAGTGAATGATGGTGAGTGTTTCTTCTCTTTGGGTCACCCTACTTTGGTAGGAGATGGCTGGTGTTTAAAAAAAAAAAAAAAACTTTTCTTTTTTTATGACTTGACTATCAATAAACTCTTAGTGGGAAGATACTCAAAATTCAACTGAAAAACGCAATTGCTACCAACACCTTCCCAGAACTATATGCCATCCTCGAGAAAAATTTAGGTGAGAAAGATGCATCATTATCACCTAGAAAATTCCACAGGGATTGGTCCCAAATCTGCATACCAAACAAAAAGGCTCGTCAGATGGTCTGAAATCTGTACCTCCAATGAAAAGCAGGGTTGCAATTGGGAGATAACCTAATAAGAGTAAAGGGATTAAGGTTTTTTAATATCCCCCCTTCATAGGGAAAATTACCAACAAATCCTTAGCTATTTTCACAATAGAACTGAAAAAATCCTTAGATTAATTCCTAATTAGCCAGACTGTGGTGCCTACATTGGACTGCATGTGACTAGCACCAACAGCCCAGTTGAACAGGCCATTAAACAAGAGGCCTCATAACCTTCAGGTACAGCTCAAGTTGTATAGAATTATAAGGATAAACAAAGAAAAATTAATTTTACTATGAAATAAACTTGACACTAAGTACTTACTTGTAACACTTTGGATCATCTCTTTCATCATCGTAATCCTCCAAGAACTCCTTTAATCTTTTAGCTTCTTTCTCTCTCTCTAGTTCCTTCAGTCTGTCTTTCTCTTTCTCTCTGTCCAACTCTTTCTGTTTCTTATGCTCACGGGTTTCCCAATTTTTAAGCCTTTCCTAGGAGGAAAAGCAGCAGTTTACTAATATGAAACCTTCATGAAAGCAAGCTCAATATTTACCCTAACTAGCTTCTTAACAGCATTTTAATACTTAAGATAACCTGATATAATTACAGACCTGATATAATTACAGATCAAAGCAGCAAAAGACACCCACGATTCTGGGAAATGGGTACCTTACTCCCTAAAATGCAAATACGTGAAAAGTTTCACTGTGCTATATTAAACAACTATACTGGTTTACTTGAGAAGCACAAAACAAAAATAATAAACACAACATAATCTGGAACCCAGTTCCATCTGGGAACTTTTCCCCACGCACTTTTGAATGTCTTCTAATGTTAAAGATATCGGAGTAAGACCTCGAGACAGTTTTAAGATTGTTACATCTTACTTAAGAAACAAAAAGTTAGGGTGAGGCAAAGAAGGAACATACATGAAACTTTTTTTCTCTTTCTCTTTTAGAAACTGCATACTGAAAACTATGCACAGACTAACAAAAAATCTATTTCTGCATTAGAAGCCCTGGGAAACAAATTTTTCATGTACCACAATCCACCCCTTATTCACCCTGATGCTCACCTCTCTATCTCATGTATGCACTTATGCTCAACAATACCCGCCCAGTCACCAGATCTTATTTACTTCTCGTAAACATCAACTAAAGCTCTTAGAATGCTCCAAAACCTAGTTGTCAATCAAAACAGGTAAGGGAGGTAGCAAAACAGTGGGCTCTCCAGGATCCCTAATAGAGAAATGATTCTTTCATTAGGCTCCAATTATATTTCTCTGGAATTTTACCAATAGTACCCAAGACAGAGGAGGGAGCCAAGGTGTAATCAAGGCAGACACATCAACAATACAAAAAACCCTCCATTCTTACTACCCTGGAAGGTGACAGGGGCACTGATTTGCAAGGATATTTTGGCTCCCAGGTAAGTGAGGGAAGGAGAGGAAAGAAACCTCTCACAGAAAATGAGATCTTACAATAAGAGAACAGTAGAGTCCAGGAAGCCAGAGCAATGAAGGTGACTCAAAGCTGTGCATCATGGTTAACTACACAGGTGAAAGGTGATAACTTCTGTCCAATGTACTAGTACACCTAATTAGCAGAAAAAATAATGAAGCCAGGACTTGTCGTTCCACCACCAGCTTCCCTACCAGCACACGGTGTGGACCTCGCAGGATGACTACTTATTCATTCCAAATTTATTACAATTTCATGGAATTCAGCCATAAAGCACACTGTTGATTTAACCAAGGACAACCCAATAAAGTAAAAAAATGTGACTGCCAACTTGTTAAAAAAAAAAAATAATAAACGCTCTCCATGAGGAAGTGGAACAGAATTCTTCCTCTGTAAGCCATGCGTGTCGTAAGAGGCGACTAAAATGCTGGGAGCAAGGGGCTAAACCCCTTCTCCTGTATACATTACTAAAGTTATGAAGAGAAACTTTTGTTTTTCTTTTTGGACCACCCTACCTTGGTGGGATATGGCTGGTTTGTTGAAAGAATAATAAACGTTCAAGGAAGTGGTGGTGGTTGGAGGCAGTGGAGATGTGTCTGAGTGCAATGTTATGCAGAGAATTCATAGCTTGGAGATTAGGAGGTACAGGGTTACCAAAAGAAATATCCAGAGGGCCAAGGAGGGATTGTTGAAGTGTTTTGGGTATTTAGAAGATGGAATAAAATAGGATGACTTGGAAGGGGTATAAATCTGTAGTGGAAGGAAGGTGGGGTAGGAGTCACCCTAGGAAAGATTGGAGGGGGAAAAGGAGGTTCTTCTTTGCGAAGAGTCTAGACATCCAGCAAGCGTGTGAAAGCATGTTAGATAAGAGCAAGGCAAATGGTTTGTTTTAACTTGAGCTGTTGGAGTGTAAGATAACATTTTGTGAATGGATTCAGGGAAGCCAGTTTGCCAGACTTGAGTCCTGGAGGTGGCAAGTACAATGCCTGTGCTCTGAAGAAGGGCTAGGGATATTTACAGTTAGGAGGAGCATCTGAACTTTAGTATTGGCACATCTCTGGCAAGACAGTGATGGAGTGAATGATGGTTTGTGTTTCTTATTTTGGGTCACTTCACCTCGGCAGATGGCTAGTTAAAAAAAAAAAAAAATCGTAAAGCAAATATCACCGGTACAGATGTTGCTGTTATTATGTACTAGGATTAGTTTGCACAAAATGCTCCAGCATGATACTGGCTTTCTTTGTACTTAACAAATCAAAATTGTAATTACACATTGTAACCTTTGCAAATAAAATCTTTCATCTTTTTAATCTTTAATAATTTTTCCACCAACTTCAACACACCATAAAATCTTAGGTTTTTATCAGATTCCACTCATTTCGGTCATATTGGATTCATAAAAATGCACTCCTTCATTCTATGTGATTTTGTTTTTTCTTTCAAAATCTTGTCCCCAACATAGGATTTTTCCTCCCCAGGTATATCACAGATAAAGGGTTCAAGTATTACCTGATACTGTAATTCCTTCTTTCGAACTTTTCTTTCTTGTTCCTTTCTTTCTTTGTCTTCTGCTTCTTCCTCTCTCTCCCGCAACACATCTCTTTCACTTTTGCGTACCGGTGATGGCGATCTGCAAAAAAAATTCATTAAACTCCCTACAAATTTATTAACACTGAGTGCAGAGTATAGAGAAGAGAGGCAGTGCCTGTAAGTCTTTTCCCAACCCACTTTGAAACAGGTGGATGGGGAAAAGAAAAGGTAGTGATAAGGCCCACACACATCCAGCACCCCTGCTCATTTTCTTTACACCTCTAATGCAGTGGGCATCTTGCATTATGATCAGTGCTCTAGTGTTCACAAATATGAATGGTGATACGTACCTTAACCTCTAGTCAACCCTCATTTCTCGCTCCATAGCAGTGATCAACCTTGAGATACCAACCACCTTCATTTCTGTTAAATCTATACACTCAAGTGTTGTAGAAATTGATGAAGGTTCCCCATCCACTGCCAAATTGTGGAGAATTGCAACATCAAGTCAACACAAACCCTCCCCACCTGCTGCAGATTATGGGTTGGCTTGAGATCACAGGTGCCAAGTCATATCTCCTGTCCCTTAAAAGAATGATTCCCACTTCCACAAATGTGCCTTAAACCCTTGCAGTACCTCAGCTGCACAGCCTAGCTTCAGTCATATTCACCCAACTTCCACATTTTCACAGCTAGCAAAATGATACAAGATTAACCAACAAGGTAGATTCCTGTAAGCCGAGGATGTCAAAGTGATGCAGGAGGGCATGGTATATGTTGGGTATACAATTAAGAGTGGCATCTCAACTACAACACTGGCTTCATCCAACAACAAACTACCTCTAGTAGTTATCTAGGTTCCTGAACATATCATTAAAGTGAAGCCTTTACTGGTGTATCACTCAGAAAATCCCAGTGTGTTTAACCCTTTGACTGTCGTGGCCGTATATATACGTCTTACGAGGTACCGTGTTTGACGTAATATACTCAAATTCTAGCGGCTTCAAATCAAGCAGGAGAAAGCTGGTAGGCCCACATGTGAGAGAATGGGTCTGTGTGGTAAGTGTGCACCATATAAAAAAAATCCTGGAGCACGCAGTGCATAATGGGAAAAAAAAACTCCGACCGTTTTTTTTAATTAAAATGCAGACTTTGTGGTCTATTTTCGTATAGTATTTATGTTGTATTCTCGATTTCTTGGTCTCATTTGATAGAATGGAAAACATATTATAGAAATAGAGGTGATTTTGATTGATTTTACTATAAAAAGAACCTAGAAATGGAGCTCAAAGTAGGGGAAATGTTTGATTTTTGCCAATGTTCAAAAGTAAACAAATGATGCCATTGTCCAATAAATGTCCAACTAGCCATTCTAATATGCAGTCATGAATGGGTTGATGTTATTTATACAATTATTACAGTATTGCAGTAGTCTGCATAATAGTAAGTCTTCAATTTTTTGTTTGAATAAAAATTCAAAATAGAAAGCAAGAGTAATATCAGAGGGGCCTGGAGACATGACTGATGAACAAAGAAAATGTTATTTTAGAGCCAGGAATGTCTGCATTGTTCATTCTGGACTTTATTTTGAAATTGTCATATTTTTTAGTTTTCGTGAAATTGGCCAAATTGCAAATTTCTGACCACATTATTAGGTACTTGAAATCGGTAAATGGGCAGTTTCTTATACTCAATCGATAGAAAAAATGGAGTTCTAAAGAAATAGCTATGAGTTTGGTCGACTGGAACAATGGAATTAGCCGAAAATAGGGCTCAAAGTGGGCGAAATCGCCGATTTGTAAACAGCGCCAAGGTCGCTAACTTCGCGAGAGCGTAATTCCGTCAGTTTTCCATCAAATTTCGTTTTTTTTTTTTTTTGGTGTCATTACAATCGGGAAAAGATTCTCTATCATTTCATAAGAAAAAATAATTTTTTTTTTTTTTTTTAATTTTGCGACACCAGGAGACACCTCAGGATTGGGGGTTGCAACAGTCAAAGGGTTAAGAAAAACTATGACATTAAGAACAAATGTGTCTTGTGGAAAGCAAATAATAAGGCATGGGTCATGTGGGAAATTTTCAAAGAGTGGGTCCATAAAGTGTTTGGCCCCAGTGTGAAAAAATACCTCCTAGAAAATAATTTGCCACTCCAGTGCCTCCTGTTACTGGACAATGCTCCTGCACATCCTCCAAACTTGGTAGAACTACTGTGTAGGGACTACAGTTTCATCAGAGTGAAGTTCTTGCCTCCTAACACCACTCCTCTCCTTCAGCCCATGGACCAGCAGGTCATTTCTAACTTCAAAAATCTCTACAAAAAAGCAGTTTGAAAAGTGCTTTGAAGTGACACTAAGTTGACCTTAAGAGAGTTCTGGAGGAATCACTTCAGTATCTACACCTGTATAAGCCTTATAAGTAAAGCTTGGGAGGGAGTGACTTCCAAGACTTTGAACTCTGCTTGGAGACAACTGTGGCCACAATGTGTCGTCCAGAGGGGTTTTGAAGGGTTTGAGGCTGACCCTGACCCTGGCGGCCCTCTGCCTGTTGTGGAAGGTATGTATTGTGGCACTGGGCAAGTCCATGGGGTTGGAGGTGAGTGGCAAGGATGTGGAAGAGTTGGTGGAGGACCACAGGGAAGAGCTAACCACTGAAGAGCTGGAAGAGCTTCATCTGGAACAGTATCAGACCACAGCTCAGGAGCTTGCTTCAGAGGAGGAGGAAGAGGGAGTGGATGAGGTGCCTTCTTCAAGGAGATTTGTGCCAAGTGGAATGATGTGCAAATGTTGGTGGAGAAGTACCACCCTAAGCAAGCTGAAACAAGCCATCTTTGCAACAAGTTCAGTGACAGAACCATGTCCCATTTTAGGGAAATCTTAAAGAGGCACCAGAAACAGAGGACTGTGAACAGTTACTTTGTGAGACAGGGGTCCAGTGACTCTCAAGCTGGTCCTAGTGCCATTAAAAGTCAAAGAAGGGGAGTAACCCCAGAGAGGGCTTTGCTACCTGATGTCTTTATGGAGAGGGATTCCCCTTCCAAACAGTAAGCCCTCCCTCACTCCTCCCTATCTTCCAGATGCCATTAACAATCTTCAATAAAGGTAAGTAAAAATGTTATTTTATGTTTATTTAAATTTTTATTTATCAATTACTAATTGTACTATGTATGTTTGTTGCGTGTATGTAAAACTATAATGTAATCTCTGTAAAATGTATTTTTTCGTGAATATTTTTGTATTTCCATTATTTCTCATGGGAAATATTGCTTCGACTTTAGAACTAGCTCCTGGAATGGATTAAGTTCGAAACTCAAGGTTCCACTGTACATATAAAATACGCAATAACTTTAAATCACTTGAAATTTTGGAAAATTTTTAGACATAACGGAAAGACATACTCACGAGAATGTAAACAAAAAGGGTGGCATGCGGTGACCATATTAGTATGTCAGGCGAGGGGAGCTGTATAGTGTATTTTGGTCATAATTTGAAATGTCCATATTAGCAGAACAATGTAAGGCGAAACACAGTAAAATGGGGCCTACTGTATAGAACATAAAAATTATTATTCCTTTAAATTTAAAAACATTGCTATAATTGAGCTAAATGTGTATACGACATACAACGAACAATTAAAAAATAAAAAAAAAAATACTATTAATACTAATTTAAAAACATTATTATAACTGACCCACATACAAGAAATAATGTCATCACTCACCTTGATCTTGAATACCTCTTCTCCTTTTTTAATCTCCGTGTGTCTACTGACTGGGATCTAGACCTTCTTATACTGCCACCCCGAGACCCAGAGCGCGATCGACGCCGTAGCTTCTCTTCCCTCTCTCTTCTTTCTCTTTCTCTTTCACGTTCTCTTTCCCTTTCTCTTTCTCGCTCGCGTTCCCTCTCTCTCTCTCGCTCCCTTTCCCTGTCTCTTTCCCGTTCCCTCTCTCGTTCTCGTTCTCTATCTCGATCTCGATCTCGCTCCCTGTCTTTTTCTCTCAGCCTTCTCTCCCTTTCTTTCTCTTCTTCCTGTTTCTGTAAGGACATGTTGAAGCAATTAGACAATAGCGGTAAAATTTTTATCAGGACACATTAAAAAACATCAAAGTCTAATAAGGATTCAAGACCACAGAACAACAGGATGAAGGCCAAAGAGGTTGCTGGCTTTTCTGTTGCACATACATACACACACAACACACAAACATGTGCAGACACACCCTTGCATGCATGCACATACACGCACACATACACACACACAAACACACACATGCACACACGCACGCACACACTAAAATAGGTATACACATCACAAGATACTGACGCTAATCTATGATAAAGTAGGTTAAATTTCTAATAATTAAGTAGCCTACCCTAATTTTATAATATATATATATTATATAATATTTAATAATATTATATATATACTAATATATATATATATATATATATATATATATATATATATATATATATATATATATATATATATATATATATATATATATATATATTATATATATTATTATTTATTTATTTATTTATTTTAACAAACTGGCCATATCCCACTGAGGCAGGGTGACCTAAAAAAGAAAAACAAAGTTTCTCTAAAATATATAAATATATAAATATATATATATATATATATATATATATATATATATATATATATATATATATATATATATATATATATATATATATATATATATATATATATATATATTTATATCAATCATTTCTTAATATATTCCCTAAAGCAAAACTTGTACATGCATTGAAAAGGAAATTATAAAGGCATTATTTACCACTTATAGAAGCTAAGAAACAACTCAAGGCTAAGTCTCCACTAATGAGAATAAAACATGAAATCCTTACAGATTATCAAAGGGAAATAATATATCCCATAAAGCTTACATAGTAGCCAGTTCACAATTGGCTTTCATGTAGCATAACTTAGTATGAGGCAATATATTATGATTACTAATAAGCCTCGATGATTTCTTGTAATTAAACGATGTTGCTATAATAATTGAATAATTAACTGGTGCTAAGAATGATTCACCTTGCTTGCTAATGATACTAGCATGGGAAGTGTACTCTGTTGCGATGATGGTTCGTGTTATGGTTCAACACTACACAATCTTAAACTTCACACTATACCTTTAAGCTGACTCTTCTCTATCTCTCATTGCCCCTTCAATTTTACTTTATTTTTTTTATATCTACTGTTTGAATTTCTTGTTGGCTGTAATTGTTGACATAATGCTCAACCTTTTAAAGGTTCTCGTAATGCAAGCAGAAAGTGTCTTCTTCATCTGAGAAGCAATCTGACAGACAAGTCTTCAAATGTTTTAAGTTGTACTTAATGCTTACATTGTTATTCCTTAATGAATTTATCACAAAGATTTCACGTGGGGCCCCTCATATATAACACAATCGACATTTTAGTATCATTTAACTTGACAAAGACTGGTCTTACTAAGCATAATTAAATATCATTCAGAATAAATTTTGCATTAAGGTTTATCACTCAGATGTTTTAGGACTGAAATCAAAATTATTTATTAAGTGGTTAAAAAACCATCAGCAATTTATAACTTGCAAATGAAAAACAATTAAATAAACTGGGTGCTCAACATTAAACAATATTAAGTTTGAATGAGAAGCTCCTCGTGGAAATCTTTTTTTTTTTTTTTTTTTTTTTTTTTTACATATCCCTTTAATCTGAATTCGGCTCCAAAATCCCTACCCTCCCATCACGTTCCTTCCCTAATTGGAACAAGATGCTACCGTTGGCAGACAGGACTTGCCTTGTGCTTTAGGGCGAAAGGCTCAACTGCTGGGTCGCTGTCAGGCAAGCCTAGCCCGGGTTGTGGGGAGATGGGAGGAGAGAACGAAGGGATCGTCTATTGAAACATCCTACTTCGATCTCTCCCTTCAGATGCACTTCCTTGACAGATTCTGTGGGGAAGTTCCACCCTAAAATGCGCTTGACCACAGGCCAGGAGTTGCAGATAGCTCACCAACCGTGTAGTTTAATATTAATATATGACTGAAACAATACCAACACAATGATGTTAAGAACTAAAAAAGGTGAGCTCATTCAAATACTCCTGACCAGGTCCGTGGAACCTTCCTATATCCATTTAACAACAGTCACAACAGGGTTTCAACCATGTGTATGGCAGTGACACAAGACGAGAAGCGATGCAATCATTAGACGACAGCTCATCTGTGTCGGAAACCCCCAACAGTCAACCATTACTGGCACTGGATGAGTTGATAGTAATTCATTATTTTCCAACAGGAATTTTAAATTTCTTTAAATATTTAGTCTATCTTTTTAAGGAAGCCTTTAAGCATGAATATCAAATGAAGAACAAAGTTCCTAATGTTGTAACAATTCCTTCCTCTATGTTCCAATCTTATCACTTGCAAATTACAGATTAAATTCTAACAGCTTAAACATAAAGTGCTGGAAAGACACATTCTATGGCAAGTGGAATTTCCACATCAAGATGCCTTAATGAATTATCACAAAATACATCTACTTCTCACTAATTCAATACTTAGTAAAAGACAAGCAAGATTTAATACTGAAAAAATTATCTAATATAAATCTAAATAAATTAGAATAATGATGTTTAACTTAAATGTTTGAGTCAGTTAATACCCAACAAAGTTGGAAGTACAAAACTATTAAAGAATATCTGAGCTTTGTTCTTCTATCATGTATCATATTTATTTAAGAATATCCTAGACTAAGGCACTGGTGGGTTAAGTGAAACTAATGTTTTACACCAAGACTTTCCAACATTCATCCTTATGCCCAAAGTTGTCCACTTACTCTTCTTCCACACCATTATCAACGTTACCTCAGAATATAACATGCTTTTGACTGAAGAAAACAATATGAACCTAATACTGTGATCTCTTATTATTAAATTTGTCATAACTGTAATTCAAGAACTATTAAGCAGGGTAAATTGTATTCCTTACCTTGCGTGGGCACCTCTCCTATGATGTTCGACCCAAACTCCCTCCCTCCCAGGTAAACAACAAAGAAACAATAACATGAGGCATGGAGTTATCAAGTGCTATATATCTTCATATCTAATGTTATGCTCCACAACTAGGTCAAAAAATAATAAAATAAAAAATGTAATTAAACAACAGCCTCAATACAAATGCCTCACACATCAGTCACACTGACTTCATTCTCTCTTAGAGCAAGGCCAAAAAACAATCAAATCAAATTAAAGTTTTCAGTCAATTGTATATGAAAATGGATGCATATTATCCAGATTTCACTTACTATTTAATTACAGAAAAATGTTTCAAGAGATATAGAAAGCCAAGGGGCATAACATGACTAATGACAGTTCCCATTCAGGACTGAATTTATAATCTCAGTATGCCCAAACCAATACTGTACTTTTAGATGTGGACAACACAGCATCAATATCTAACATCAGTTATTTTGTAGTAATACAACAACTGTTAGAGTCTGCCAATTACTGTATTTTTCTACCTTGCAGATAAGAAAAATCTGCCATCAGCTTCTATTACACTTGATTGTTGTGCCAATATCACCACTAGTTAAGAGAGGCCTGTTTTTAGTAATCTTAATTAACCTGGCCATCAAAATTTTAGCAACACTGCACATTTTTTGATTTGCATGTAAATCATGAAACAAATCAAGAACTACTGAGATATGATGTACTGAATAACTAAAACTATTGCTGAACTTCTCTGGTAATCAAGAAACTAGTGTTGAGGTATGAAAACAGAGCTATGAACAATGGTGAGTGCTTAAAAAAAAAAAAAGCTGGACAAGAGAGATGCGTCAGTGTGCTGGCAGGAGCCGGTCAAGGAGATAGCAGGTTAAGTTGCTGAACCAAGCGGGTAGATGACTGACTACAGATAACACGTCCGCTTAAAAAAAAAAAAAACACCACCGCTGAGGAGGTGACAACATATGGTTAAAATTGTCTAGTACTAACAAAAGAGAATTCCAACCATATGTTCATTTAACTCTTCCTCTTTGGTATCTAAACCAGATATAAGATTTCATGAGTGAGAAAACTGGGAGTCACAAGACAGCAGAAGTATTGTACTGAATGACATACGCTTAAAACTTAACATGTGGATTCTTGAATGAAGAAATCCCATGAGAAGTAAAAGCTGCTTATCAATACATAACACTGTATGGACTACCTTGCCCCAGGCCAAATAAACCTTTGTTTCTGTTACAAACTAAAGTGCTTTATTAGATGCTGTACTCACCGTCGCTGGCACAAAACATACATGACAGTTGTCGTCTGCCCGCGTGTGAACTCTATGACTGCCTATGTTTGAGAATTACATATTATGTTTGTGTCTTCTTTTCGAAAAACACTAGGTTATCAATTTCACATAATCAGCGATATAATCTTAAAAAATACAAGTGACAAGTGATTATAAAAATGACAACAAAATTTATTCCTGTTCTATATATTTAGTTATATTTTAATCACAAAGCAATGAAAAAATAAAGATCTGACAGACTGGAAGCTTAAATTGGAAGAATATGACAATAGAAAGATGGAGGGGAGGATACTGCCTGAGGATAGTCTTAGCTCTATTAATGATCTTGATGTATCACTAGGCATGTATGGGACACACGAAACATCTCCATAGAAACAAAGAATTTCAGCCATATATACATTGAATTGAAGCCATACTGTAAAGTCTTTCTAAATAGATGTCTTTGTTTTTATATAAACATTATATGAAAAGCTTTTAAGTGTGTAACATGAGTCAGACCACCTCAACATGACAACTGACAATGCCACAGGATAATATATGAAATGCCACAACTGGTTTGACACTGCATGCCTGTTTTTTTTTTTACCTCAATGACTGAATAAAGAAAAAACTGTACAAGACATATAATGTACACATGCCAAAATTTTCAAATGCATCTTCTGCCCACGTTTTGCTTTATAAAGTTTTAATTATATTGTCAATCCATTTAAGAAAAACTATCAACATTAAATGGAAATTTATCATTCAATTTCACAAATCCAAACCCCAACACGTAAACATTTAGAATAGGCAAGTCATTTAATATGCAGGAGCTAAATACATATTACATATCTTCTTCAACACAGATTTCCAATGATAATGCAGATTAATGAAGCTTAGGAATAACAAGACTTTAGTGTAGCCTTATACCAAAATAAGTAAATTTTATTAATGCAGAGAATATCACCTGATATATAGCAAAACTACACAAGCAATGCACATCAGTATTAACCTCAAATATCTCTACATTTTTTCATTACAATTTGTTTCTTCCTTGGTACTTTCCACAACAGATTTCCAGAATGGTAACTCACTCAAGCTAGAAACCTTTTTCTTCCTCTCAAGACATTACACAACGGCATTTATTAAACTAACTCAACTGTCCCTATACTGAATGAACTAAATTGATTGAGAATTATGTCTATTTAAACATTTTAGGAATACATTTGTGAATCCAAGGCAATTCTCATACCAAAGTTGGCTAACCTGCAACTTTTGTCATGTTGAGTAGGAATAACCCACAACTGTGTGAATCTTGTTGTCTCAAACTGAGTACACTGTACAATAATGTTGTAAACCTATGGCTAATGTAACAGTTATGTCACATGGAACATGTATGAGCCATGAGCAACTCTCATGAACTGTGTCCATATTAAGTTTATATCCTGTAAGGAGGACTCAAAACTTCATGTGGATCTCCTTATCATAATAGTTGATTATGTCACATACACAGTAACTAATCTAAAAGAAACCAAAAGAATTTATTTTTTAAATCAGACTTGGAGCAGGAAACAACAGGCATTGTAAAATAGTGATCCAATTATCTGGTCTTAATGAATCTATCATTTAAATACTAGAGCAACCTATATTAGCATGAGCACAATATAGAAACAGTATAGTTACCAAAACTCAATCAATCACTTGAAGGCCTTAATCTGTTGCAAAATGTCCGTTGTCTCCTGCCTGCAACAGTCCTAAAGCGACGCTTTAGGTATAAAATTTGATACCCTACCTTCATTTGCTCCCGGAATTGTGTAATTTCTCGTGTAATCAGTTCTTTTTTACCCTCCTCCACATCTTCCATGCCATCCAAATTCTGAAAAAAATTACATGTATATCAATTAAGAACAATGTTACTATGGACACTAGTTAGAACAAATTACAAGTGGCTCTTGAACAATGCAGGAGTTAGGGGTGCCAATCCTTCCCCGTGCAGTCAAAAATCAGTGTATTCTGTTCCACTTCCCCATGGAGGTAAGAGGATATAAACAAGAACAAGAACTAGAAAGAAAATAGAAGAAAATTCAAAGGGGTGTGTGTATATATATGTTTGTACATGTATTGGTAGTAGGTTGGTAGACAGCAACCACCCAGGGAGGTACTACCGTCCTGACAAGTGAGTGTAAAACGAAAGCCTGTGATTGTTTTACATGATGGTAGGATTGCTGGTGTCTTTTGTCTGTCTCATAAATATGCAAGATTACAGGCATGTCTTGCTACTTCTACTTACACTTAGGTCACACTACACATACATATACACATTTATTCATACACACTCATCTGAGTTTTCTTTGATTTTATCTTAATAGTTCTTGGTCTTATTAATTTTCCTTTTATATCCATGGGGAAGTGGAATAAGAATCTTTCCTCCGTAAGCCATGCGTGTTGTAAAAGTCAACTAAAATGCCGGGAACAATGGGCTAGTAACCCCTTTTCCGGTAAAGATTACTAAAAAGAATAAGAAGAAGAAAATTGTCAAAGTGGGAAGTCTGAATGTGCGTGGATGTTGTGCAGATGATAAGAAAGAGATGATTGTGGATGATATGAATGAGAAGAAGCTGGATGTCCTGGCTTTAAGTGAAACAAAGCTGAAGGGGGTGGGAGAGTTTCAGTGGAGAGGAATAAATGGGATTAGGTCAGGGGTTTCAAATAGAGTTAGAGCTAAAGAAGGAGTAGCAATAATGTTGAAGGATAAGCTATGGCAGGAAAAGAGGGACTATAAATGTATTAATTCAAGGATTATGTGGAGTAAAATAAAGATTGGATGTGAAAAGTGGGTTATAATAAGCGTGTATGCACCTGGAGAAGAGAGAAGTGTAGAGGAGAGAGATTGATTTTGGGAAATGTTGAGTGAATGCGTGGGGAGTTTTGAATCAAGTGTGAGAGTAATGGTGGTTGGGGATTTCAATGCTAAAGTGGGTAAAAATGTTATGGAGGGAGTAGTAGGTAAATTTGGGGTGCCAGGGGTAAATGTAAATGGGGAGCCTTTAATTGAGCTATGTGTAGAAAGAAATTTGGTAATAAGTAATACATATTTTATGAAAAAGAGGATAAATAAATATACAAGGTATGATGTAGCACGTAATGAAAGTAGTTTATTAGATTATATATTGGTGGATAAAAGGTTGATGGGTAGGCTCCAGGATGTACATGTTTATAGAGGGGCAACTGATATATCGGATCATTATTTAGTTGTAGCTACAGTTAGAGTAAGAGGTAGATGGGAAAAGAGGAAGGTGGCAACAACAAGTAAGAGGGAGGTGAAAGTGTATAAACTAAGGGAGGAGGAAGTTCGGGTGAGATATAAGCGACTATTGGCAGAAAGGTGGGATAGTGCAAAGATGAGTAATGGGGGGTTGAAGAGGGTTGGAATAGTTTTAAAAATGCAGTATTAGAATGTGGTGCAGAAGTTTGTGGTTATAGGAGGGTGGGTGCAGGAGGAAAGAGGAGTGATTGGTGGAATGATGAAGTAAAGGGTGTGATAAAAGAGAAAAAGGTAGCTTATGAGAGGTTTTTACAAAGCAGAAGTGTTATAAGAAGAGCAGAATATATGGAGAGTAAAAGAAAGGTAAAGAGAGTGGTGAGAGAGTGCAAAAGGAGAGCAGATGATAGAGTGGGAGAGGCACTGTCAAGAAATTTTAATGAAAATAAGAAAAAATTTTGGAGTGAGTTAAACAAGTTAAGAAAGCCAAGGGAAAATATGGATTTGTCAGTTAAAAACAGAGTAGGGGAGTTAGTAGATGGGGAGATGGAGGTATTAGGTAGATGGCGAGAATATTTTGAGGAACTTTTAAATGTTAAGGAAGAAACAGAGGCAGTAATTTCATGCACTGGTCAGGGAGGTATACCATCTTTTAGGAGTGAAGAAGAGCAGAATGTAAGTGTGGGGGAGTACGTGAGGCATTACGTAAAATGAAAGGGGGTAAAGCAGCTGGAACTGATGGGATCATGACAGAAATGTTAAAAGCAGGGGGGATATAGTGTTGGAGTGGTTGGTACTTTTGTTCAATAAATGTATGAAAGAGGGGAAGGTACCTAGGGATTGGCGGAGAGCATGTATAGTCCCTTATATAAAGGGAAAGGGGACAAAAGAGACTGTAAAAATTATAGAGGAATAAGCTTACTGAGTATACCAGGAAAAGTGTACGGTAGGGTTATAATTGAAAGAATTAGAGGTAAGACAGAATGTAGGATTGCAGATGAGCAAGGAGGTTTCAGAGTGGGTAGGGGATGTGTAGATCAAGTGTTTACATTGAAGCATATATGTGAACAGTATTTAGATAAAGGTAGGGAAGTTTTTATTGCATTTATGGATTTAGAAAAGGCATATGATAGAGTGGATAGAGGAGCAATGTGGCAGATGTTGCAAGTATATGGAATAGGTGGTAAGTTATTAAATGCTGTAAAGAGTTTTTATGAGGATAGTGAGCTCAGGTTAGGGTGTGTAGAAGAGAGGGAACTATTTCCCGGTAAAAGTAGGTCTTAGACAGGGATGTGTAATGTCACCATGGTTGTTTAATATATTTATAGATGGGGTTGTAAAGGAAGTAAATGCTAGGGTGTTCGGGAGAGGGGTGGGATTAAATTTTGGGGAATCAAATTCAAAATGGGAATTGACACAGTTACTTTTTGCTGATGATACTGTGCTTATGGGAGATTCTAAAGAAAAATTGCAAAGGTTAGTGGATAAGTTTGGGAATGTGTGTAAAGGTAGAAAGCTGAAAGTGAACATAGAAAAGAGTAAGGTGATGAGGGTGTCAAATGATTTAGATAAAGAAAAATTGGATATCAAATTGGGGAGGAGGAGTATGGAAGAAGTGAATGTTTTCAGATACTTGGGAGTTGACGTGTCGGCGGATGGATTTATGAAGGATGAGGTTAATCATAGAATTGATGAGGGAAAAAAGGTGAGTGGTGCGTTGAGGTATACGTGGAGTCAAAAAACGTTATCTATGGAGGCAAAGAAGGGAATGTATGAAAGTATAGTAGTACCCACGCTTTTATATGGGTGCGAAGCTTGGGTGGTAAATGCAGCAGCGAGGAGACGGTTGGAGGCAGTGGAGATGTCCTGTTTAAGGGCAATGTGTGGTGTAAATATTATGCAGAAAATTCGGAGTGTGGAAATTAGGAGAAGGTGTGGAGTTAATAAAAGTATTAGTCAGAGGGCAGAAGAGGGGTTGTTGAGGTGGTTTGGTCATTTAGAGAGAATGGATCGAAGTAGAATGACATGGAAAGCATATAAATCTATAGGGGAAGGAAGGCGGGGTAGGGGTCGTCCTCGAAAGGGTTGGAGAGAGGGGGTAAAGGAGGTTTTGTGGGCGAGGGGCTTGGACTTCCAGCAAGCGTGCGTGAGCGTGTTAGATAGGAGTGAATGGAGACGAATGGTACTTGGGACCTGACGATCTGTTGGAGTGTGAGCAGGGTAATATTTAGTGAAGGGATTCAGGGAAACCGGTTATTTTCATATAGTCGGACTTGAGTCCTGGAAATGGGAAGTACAATGCCTGCACTTTAAAGGAGGGGTTTGGGATATTGGCAGTTTGGAGGGATATGTTGTGTATCTTTATATGTGTATGCTTCTAGACTGTTGTATTCTGAGCACCTCTGCAAAAACAGTGATAATGTGTGAGTGTGGTGAAAGTGTTGAATGATGATGAAAGTATTTTCTTTTTGGGGATTTTCTTTCTTTTTTGGGTCACCCTGCCTCGGTGGGAGACGGCCGACTTGTTGGGAAAAAAAAAAAAAAAAAAAAAAAAAACATGTATGTGTAGTGTGACCTAAATGTAAGTAGAAGTAGCAATACGTACCTGAAATCTTGCATGTGTATGAGAGAATAAAAAGACACCAGCAATCCTACCATCATGTAAACAATTACAGGCTTCCGTTTTACACTCACTTGGCAGGACGGTAGAACCTCCCTGGGCGGTTGCTGTCTACCAACCTACTACCTAAAAGGTAGGGTTATTATTGAAAGAATTAGAGGTAAGAGAGTAGGATTGCAGATCAGCAGGGAGGCTTTAGAGTGGGTAGGAGATATGTAGATCAAGTGTTTACAGTGAAACACATATGTGAACAGTATTTAGATAAAAGTAGGGAAGTTTTCATTGTATTTACGGACTTAGAAATGGCATATGATACAGTGGATAGGGGAGCAATGTGGCAGATGTTGCAAATATATGGAAGTAGTAGTAAGTTACTAAATGCTGTAAAGAGTTTTTATGAGGATAGTGAGGCTCAGGTTAGGGTGTGTAGAAGACAGGGAGACTACTTTCCGGTAAAGGTGGGTCTTAGACAGGGATGTGTAATGTCACCATGGTTGTTTAATATCTTTATAGCTGGGGTTGTAAAAGAAGTATATGCTAGGGTGTTGAGAAGAGGGGTGGAATTAAATTATGGGAAATCAAGTACAAAATGGGAGTTGACACAGTTATCTTTTGCTGATGATACTGTGCTAATGGGAGATTCTAAAGAGAAGTTGCAAAGGTTAGTGGATGAGTTTGGGAGGGTGTGTAAAGGTAGAGAGTTGAAAGTGAACAAAGATAAGAGTAAGGTGATGAGGGTATCAAACAATTTAGATAAAGAAAAATTGGATATCACATTGGAGAGAGAGAGTATGGAAGAAATGAACGTTTTCAGATATTTGGGAGTTGACGTGTCAGCGGATGGGTTTATGAAGGATGAGGTTAATCATAGAATTGATGAAGGAAAAAAGGCGAGTGGTGTGTTCAGGTATTTGTGGAGACAAAAAATGTTATCCATGGAGGCAAAATAGGTAATGTATGAAAGCATAGTGGTACCAACACTCTTATGTGGGTGTGAAGCTTGGGTTGTAAATGCTGCAGCAAGGAGGCAGCTGGAGGCAGTGGAGATGTCCTAAGGGCAATGTGTGGTGTAAATATTGCAGAGAATTCAGAGTGTGGAAATTAGGAGGTGTGGAGTTAATAAAAGTATTAGTCAGAGGGCAGAAGAGGGGTTGTTGAGGTGGTTTGGTCATTTAGAGAGAATGGATCTAAATAGAATGACTTTGAGAGCGTATAACTCTGTAGGGGAAAGAAGGCAGGGTAGGCGTCATCCTCGAAAAGGTTGGAGGGAGGGGGTAAAGGAGGTTTTGTGGGCGAGGGGCTTGGACTTCCAGCAAGCGTGTGAGTGTGCGCTAGATAGGAGTGAATGGAGATGAATGGTTTTTGGGATCTGACGAGCTGCTGGAGTGTGAGCAGGGTAATATTTAGTGAAGGGATTCAGGGAAACTAGTGATTTTTATATAGCCGGACTTGAGTACTAGAAATGGGAAGTACAATGCCTGCACTTTAAAGGAGGGGTTTGGGATATTGGCAGTTTGGAGGGACTTCTAAAGTGTCGTATCTGAGCGCCTCTGCAAAGACAATGATTATGTATGAGTGAGGTGAAAGTGTTGAATGATGATGGAAGTATTTTTCTTTTTGGAGATTTGCTTTCTTTTTGGGTCACCCTGCCTTTTTGGGAGACGACCAACATGTTGAAAAAAAAAAAATCTATGTAATCACCAGCAAAAAGTAATACTATATGCATGTACGTATACACATAAATTGACATCTGCCAAGGAACTAACCGATTAATTAAAATGTTGTAACAAACTAACTGTGAAATACTTACGGTTGTGGTGGGTATATTTGCAATATCAGCCCCACTTGATAGCGCCACTAGTTTTTCTTGTACTTTAGACATACGCTTTTCCCTCATATCATGCCTGTTTGGGGGTGGGATGTAATTCATAATATCTTTTTTGTGGTCCGAGAGAATTTCAATTATCCGCCTCACTGCGGCAGCATCTTCTAATCTCATATCTTCATCCAGATAATCGTCACCTTCGTCTAGTTCATCTTGTAATGGTGAAGAATCGCCATTCTGCTTCGATTTCTTTCGCTTCTCTGTGTGGAAAATTATAATGGCAAGAATGCTAAATAAATTTCTACTAAAGTAAACAACTACAATGCCTCTGATGAGGTACTTAAGAATTTTTTTAAATATTCAGAAAAAATATTTAAATGAATCTTGTTAGTAAAGACCTCACATTATATCATTAAATAAATTATTTCAGTATATATGAATACTTACCCTTATAATCATCTAAAACTTCTTTGGTTTTTGCATCAGCTTTGACAACTAGTTTCTTTTCAGCAATCTCATAGTCATGTAGAAGCCTGATTGCTCGAAGGGCAGCATCTGGGTTCCCAAACTCACAGAATCCAAAAGCTGAAATGTTACATACTCCAAAGCTGAAATGTTACATGCTCATCCACTGTACATTATGGAGATACATAATGCCCTAACTTATTAAATAATTTCCTTGAGAGGTTACTAAAGAAACCCAAAACTCAAACCTGATGAACCCTTATACCCCACCATTTCCGTTGCAGGTGATCTCATTTTTCTTGTATCCTGACTTACCAAAAGTAATTCCTTTCCCAGATTTTTTTTCCTCTTACATACCTGCAAGTGACAAGGTTTCACGAACAGTACATCCACTGTCCACTTTTAATATGTAAAGTCTAGACGAAGTCTATCTTTACTACCTGAAGTAATGTTCTTCTTAATACATTAATCCTTTCAGTGTCAGTCCCATTGTATCATGGCTTTAAAGCCAGTGTTGGTCCCGTAGTACTATGCCATGAGCTCAGCTCACTCGGATAAGCTGTGAGCAGTAAATTTGGGCCTAGATACAAGAGAATGGGTCAATGCGGTAAGAGTGCACCATATAAAAAATCCTGCAGAATGCAGTGCATGAGAAAAACTGCAACTGTGTTTTTTATTTAAAACGGAGATTTTGCAGTTTATTTTCATATGGTGTTTATGGTTGTATTCTTAGTATCTTGGTCTTGTTTGACTGAATGGAAGATATATTACAGAAAGAGATAATTTTGATTAGTTTCAAGACTGAAAGTAGCTTAAAATTGAGCTCAAAGTAGCAGAAATGTTCAATTTTTGCTGATATTCCAGAGTACACACATTATGTCACTTGTCCAACACGTGTCCAATTGGCGAATCTAATACGCATCTAGGAATGCAGTGACATTATTTCTGCAATTATAATAATGCAGTAGTCTGCATAAAAGTAAATCTTCTATTTTTTGTGTGAATAAAAATTCAAAATGAAAAGCAAGCATGATATAAGAGGGCCCTGGAGATGTGACTAAGGAACAGAGGAAATGTTTGTTTAGTGCCAGTAATGTCTACACTGTTTATTCCAGACTGCATTTTCAAACTGGCAAGTGCTGAATATTGTATGAAATTAACCATATTACCAATTTCCGATCACTTTATTGGATAGTTGAAAATAAATGGGCAATTTCTTGTACTCAATAGAACAGAAAGACTTAGTGAAATTAGGTACGAGTGTGGTGGACTGGAACAAAAGAACTGGCCAAAAATATAGAGCAAAGTGGGCAAAATTGCCAATGCATAAATATCAACAAAACCGCTAACTTTGCGAGAGCATAAATCTTTAAGTTTTCCATCAAATTTCACACTTTTTGTTTCTTTACCTTCGGAAAATTTCTTCTACCCTGAGAGCAAGGGTCTCGACACTGGTTATCATTTGATATGTTGCACTTTGTGAACCAAGCATAAACTCATAAATAATTACATGTTGATAATTATGCAGCTACCTACAGCTTTCCAACACAAATCTGATATAGTACTGCATTTACATGCCAGTACATTTCATTTCAATTATACTTTCTTCCCAAAGACATATTACACTGTAAGCCAAGTTGGGTTAGACAGCACACTACCACTCACTGCAGGCCACTCACCAAACACTTCACCTAACATTACTCTCTAAGTGTGTTCTATACATTATTAGGTAAATCTTTTAACATAGTTATTTGACCAAATATTTTCCCATTTTGGGGATTTAAATTTTTCTACTGTACCCTATCTTGACATATGTAGTATTATTTCATGTGATAATAGTACAGTGGATCTTCCGTTTTCGTCAATCTCTGTTAGCGCCTATTTCGGTTTTGGCAGACTTTTTTCGATTACCTCCATTTTCGGTGATCGTATGGAACCTGTCCAGTGCCCAGCGTGCAGACAAAGCCACCTCCCATGCCCATTCTCAGCCAGTTAGCGTTGTTTCTCGGTGAGTGAACACATCCTGTCAGGTCATACGAAATATTTCGTAATAATCCATTGTTTTTGCCATTTGTTTACTGTGTGTGACTGCTAAATATGCGACCATGGCCCCCCAAAAAGCTCCTAGTGCCAGTGCTTTGGTAAAGAAAGTGAGGAACACCGTATAACTGAAAAAAGAAATCCTAAGAAAATAAGATAGTGGTATACGCATTGCTGAACTTGGCAGGACATATGGGAAGTCGCCATCAACAATCAGCTCCACTGTGGCAAAGAGAAAAGAAATATGGATGCTGATGTTGTAAAAGGGGTGAATGAGATACCAGAGATCCCAAACAACTGAAGAAGTGGAGAAATTGTTGTTGGTGTGGATCAGAGAGAGAGTTAGCACGGGATAGTGTTGTGCAGTCTATAATTTGTGAAAAGGAAAGGCAGTTGCATGATGATTTCAAAATGAAACTGCCTGAAACAAGTGCTGATGTAGGTGAATTTAAGGCCAGCAAAGGCTGGTTCAAAAAATTCAAGAAGCGAAGTGGCATACACAGTGTTGTAAGGCACAGTGAGGGTGCCAGTTCAGACAAACAAGCGACTGAAAAGTTCGTGAGGGAATTCAAATGTTATGTAGAGGCTGAAAAATTCCAACCCCAACAAGTGTTCAATTGTGAAAAACAGGCTTGATTTGGAAGAAAATGCCAAAGAGGACTTACATTACGCAGGAGGAAAAGGCACTCCCAGGACACAAGCCTTCATATGAAACAGGCTAACTCTCTTGTTGTGTGGTAATGCTAATGGAGATTTCAAATGAAGCCTTTACTGGTGTATCACTTTGAAAATCCCAGTGTGTTCAAGAAAAACAGTGTTGTCATGAGTAAACTGTATGTGATGTGGATGGCTAACAGTAGGTCACTAGAGAAATTTTTCTGGAATGGTTGAATGAAGTGTTTGGCCCAAGTGTGAAGAAATACCTCCTGGATAATAAATTTCCACTCCAGTGCCTCCTGTTAATGGACAATGCTCCTGCTCATCCTTCAGACTTGGAAGGCCAACTGTTTAAGGAATTCAGCTTTGTAACAGTGAAGTTCTTGCCTCCTAACACCACTCCTCTCATCAAGTCCATGGACCAGCAGATCACAAACTTCAAAAAACTGTACACCAAAGCAATGTTTCAAAGGTGCTTTGACATAACCTCAGACTCTGAATTGACCCTAAGAGAGTTCTGGAAGAATCACTTCAATATCTTCCACTTCATAGGCCTTATAGACACGGCTTGGCAGGGAGTGACTTCCAGGATGATGAACTCTGCTTGGGGAAAATTGTGGCCAGATTGTGTCCAAAAGAAGGATTTTGAAGGGTTTAAGGCTGACCCTATCAACCCTACACCTGTTGTGAAATCAATTGTGGCACTGGGGAATTCCATGGGGTTGGATGTGAGTGGCGACAATGTGGAAGAGTTGGTGGAGGACTACAATGAGGAGCTAACTACTGATGAGCTGCAAGAGCTTCATCTGCAACAGCAACAGACCACAGCTGAGGAAACTGCTTCAGAGGAGGAGGAAGAGAGATGTAAGAAGGTGCCTTCAAAGATTAAGGAGATTTGTGCAATGTGGACTAAAGTGCATTCATTTGTGGAGGAACATCACCCTGAGAAAGCTGATGCAATACGTGCTGGTGACTTTTACAATGATAATGCCATGTCCCATTTTAGGCAAATTTTAAAGAGAAGCCAGAAACAGAGCACTCTGGACAAATATTTTGTGTGACAGGGGTCCAGTGAATGTCAAGCTGGTCCTAGTGGCATTAAAAAACAAAGGAGGGAAGTGACTATGGATAATGACTTGGTACCTAGAGTCCTTATGGAGGGGGATTCTCCTTCCAAAGAATAACCTCTCTTCCCTCTCCCCTCCTCCCTGTCTTCCTTCCAGCAACAACAGCCTTCAATAAAGGTAAGTGTCACGTGTAATGTTCATTCTCTTGTGCATGTAACTATCTTTAGGGTAAACAATTTTTTTTTATTGATACTTCTGGGTGTCTGGAACTGATTAATTCCATTTACATTATTTCTTATGGGGAAAATGGTTTCAGTTTTGGCCGACGGCTCTGGAACGGATCAAACACGAAAACCGAGGGTCCACTGTACCACTTAAAACCTGAGTCACTAGGTGCACAACCTGATCATTCAGAAGGCATCCTTAAATTGAAACAGAGTAAGCAGGAAAACGTTATATATTGCCCAATAATCAAGGAAGATTTATAACAGACATTTAACCCTTTCAGGGTTTCGGCCGTACTAGTACGGCTTAGGCCCCAAAGTTTTTGACGTACTAGTACGCCTAAATTCTAGCGCTCTCAAATCTAGCGAGAGAAAGCTGGTAGGCCTACTTATGAAAGAATGGGTCTATGTGGTCAGTGTGTGCAGTATAAAAAAAAATCCTGCAGCACACAATGCGTAATGAGAAAAAAAAAACTTTGACCGTGTTTTTGGATTAAAACAGCAAATTTGCACTGTATTTTCGTATGGTATTTATTGTTGTATTCTAGTTTTCCTGGTCTCATTTTATAGAATGGAAGACATATTACAGAAATTGAGATGATTTTGACTGGTTTTACAATGAAAAGTACCTTGAAATTGAGCTCGAAGTAGCAGAAATGTTTGATTTTTACCAAAGTTCAAAAGTAAACAAATCATGCCAAGCATCCAATACACGTCAACTGGTGAGTCTAATGTTCTTTCACAAGTGCGCTGATATTATTTATACCATTTCTACACTAATGCAGTAGTCTGCATAACAATAAATTTTTTGTAAGAATTAAAATTCTAAGTGGAAAGCCAAAGAAATATAAGAGGGGCATGGGGATGTGACTAACGAATAGAGAACTTGTTATTTTAGTGCCAGGAATGTCTGTCTTGTTTATTCTGGACCCTATTCAGAAATTGGCATCTTCTGAAATTTGTGTGAAATTGGCGAAATTATTAAATTCTGACCACTTTATTGGATAGTTGAAATCGGTAAATGGGTGGTTTCTTGTCATCATTCGATAGAAAAAATGGAGTTCTTGTGAAATAGTTATGATTTTTGTCGACTAGTACACTAGAATTGGCCGAAAATAGGGCTCAAAGTAGGCAAAATCGCTGATGCGTAAGCATCGTCGAGACTGCTAAATTCACGAGAGCATAATTCCCTGACTGCTAAATTCGCGAGAGCATAATTCCCTAAGTTTTCCATCGAATTTCATACTTTTGGTGTCATTATGATCATAATTTTTTTTTTTTTTTTTTTTTTAAATTTGGGGACCCTGAGAACAAGTCTCGGAGAGGGCCTGGAGACCCTGAAAGGGTTCAGTTAATTAATACTGATATTATGTAGTACCAACACTCTTATATGGGTGTGAAGCTTGGGTTGTAAATGCAGCAGCGAGGAGGCGGTTGGAGGCAGTGGAGATGTCCTGTCTAAGGGCAATGTGTGGTGTAAATATTATGCAGAAAATTTGGAGTGTGGAAATTAGGAGAAGGTGTAGAGTTAATAAAAGTATTAGTGAGAGGGCTGAAGAGGGGTTGTTGAGGTGGTTTGGTCATTTAGAGAGAATGGATCAAAGTAGAATGACATGGAGAGCATTTAAATCTGTAGAAGGAAGGCGGGGTAGGGGTCGTCCTCAAAAAGGTTGCAAGGAAGGGGTAAGGGAGATTTTGTGGGCAAGGGGCTTAGACTTCCTGCAGGCGTGCATGAGCGTGTTCGATGGGAGTATATGGAGACGAATGGTATTTGGGACCTGATGATCTGTTGGAGTGAGAGCAGGGTAATATTTAGTGAAGGGATTCAGGGAAACCGGTTATTTTTATATAGCCAGACTTGAGTCCTGGAAATGGGAAATACAATGCCTGCACTCTAAAGAAGGGGTTTCAGGATATTAGCAGTTTGGAGGGATATGTTGTGTATCTTTATACGTATATGCTGCTAAACTGTTGTGTTCTGAGCACCTCTGCAAAAACAGTGATTATTTGCGAGTGAGGTGAAAGTGTTGAATGATGATGAAAGCATTTTCTTTTTGGGGATTTTCTTTCTTTTTGGGTCACCCTGCCTCGGTGGGAGACGGCCGACTTGTTTAAAAAAAAAAAAATTACATATAGTCTCCACGGGAAATAGAGAAGAATCCTTCCTCGGTAAGTCATGTGTGTCATAAGAGGCAACTAAAATACTGGGAGCAAGGGGCTAGTAACCCCTCCTCCTGTATAAATTACTAAATGTAAAGAGAAAAACTTAATGATTCATATTTTTTGGGGTCACTCTGCCTTGGTGCAAGAAAGCCAGCGTGTTGAATGTAAAATTTATACATAGTATTTCAGCTTTGGAAACTCATAACGCACTCAAATTAAAACAGCAAAATAAATTATTTCAAATGCGCTGCACAGGGCAAGACTGATTTTTTTTAACCCAGCCACAGTGAATAGATTAAGGAATAGGATAGGACTATGTTTCAAATAATATGACAATAATATTTTGTAGTGTATTATAATATGCCCCATTATGCAATAATTATTTATTTTATTATCACACTGGCCGATTCCCACCAAGGCAGGGTGGCCCGAAAAAGAAAAACTTTCACCATCATTCACTCCATCACTGTCTTGCCAGAAGGGTGTTTTACACTAGTTTTTAAACTGCAACATTAACACCTGTTTACTGTGATATTATTATGCAATAATATCACAGTAAACAGGTGATATCACAATATGCAGAATAACCCCTGTGAAAAAATAGTTTAATTCCAAGCACTAATGATTTCTCACATTATCAAAAAACTATAAAAATAAAAGATTAACAGGAAGGCATATAAGGACGAGACTACACCTTGAGGTCATCTCAACACCTGACTTTTTATGATGATGTAGGCACGTAGTCAAGGATCCGTGAAACACAGCTTATATTCTACTTCAGAATTAAGAATTTAACTTATGTAATGTATCATAAATTCTTCCCAAATTTTATTATTATAAATCAATCCAATTTGTATAACCTGTACAGTGGTACCTCGAGTTTCGAACAGATCCCAACTCAAACAATTATGTAAGTGTATTTTTGTAGGTGCTTTTGTAAGTGTATTTTTGGGGATCTGAAACATACTAACCTAATTTACATTATTCCTTATGGGAACAAATTCGTTCGGTATCAGCACTCGAACAGACTTCAGGAACGAATTAAGTTCGTAACTCGAGGTACCACTGTACTCATATCTTCAAAAGTATTTTTTTGAGACTTGATTCTATTATATTTCTCTCGACCATGGACTTACTAGATACAATTTTCTCAGCCTTTTGAAAATCAATTGGATGGTTAAAATCTCTCACAGGAATAAACAGAGCATTAGAATCTTGTCCTCTTCTAATGCTATATTTAAGTTGCTTTTAATCTTAATTCAAGACTTTTACCAGGTTGACCGCAATAAACTATCACATATTTTAAATGGAAGTTGACGGCTGTGTCTACAAGATTCCTTGTAAAATATGTGATAAAGTTTATTACGGTCAAACTGGTAAAAGTCTTGAGCTAAGATTAAAACATAAATATAGCATTAGAAGAGGACAAGATTCTAATGCTCTGTTTATTCATGAGAGAGATTTTAACCATCCAACTGATTTTCAAAAGGCTGAGAAAGTTGTATCTAGCGAGTCCATGGTTAAGATGATTACAATAGAATCAAGACTCATAAAAAATAGTTTTGAAAATAATATGAATATTGCTTTTGGATTATACAAATTGAATTCATATATAATTAATAAAATCTGGGGAGAATTTAAGATACATTAGACAAGTTAAATTCCTAATGCTTGGGTAGAATATAAGCTATGTTTCACAGATCCCTGACTACCTACCTACCCCATCATAGAAAGTCAGGTGTTGTGAGGTGGGCATGAGGTGTAACCTTGTCCTTATATGCCTTGTGGTTAATCTTTTATTTTTATAGTTCCTTGATGTAAGAAATCACGAAAGCACTTGGAATTTCACTATTTTTTCAGTGGTTATTCTGCATGCCCCATTATATTTTTTCTGCCATTTTCAGTCTCCAAATCTGTACTTTAACCCTTTCAGGGTCCAGAGGCCAAATTTTGAAGTGTGCACCAGGGTCCAAGAATTTAAAAAAAAAAAATTATTTTTTTCTTATGAAATGGTAGAGAATCTTTTCCTGAAGGTAATAAAACAAAAAGTATGAATTTTGATGGAAAACTGACAAAATTATGCTCTCACAAATTTTGATGTGTCAGATATTTATGCATCGGCGATTTTGCCAAATTTGACTCCCATTTTAGGCCAATTACATTATTCCAATTGACTAAATTCTTAGGTATTTCACTAATATTACTTCTATTCTATCGACTGAGCACAAGAAATCGCCAAGTCAACTGTTTCAACTACAAAATAAAGTGATCGGAAATTGGTAATTTAAAGCAAAGTTCAAAATATTCCAATTTCAAAATAGGGTCCAGAATAAACAATGCAGGCATTCCTGGCACTAAACTAACATTCCCTCTGTTCATCAGTTATGTTTTCAGGCTTTACAAGTGAATTCTATTTTGTTTTTCTTTAATTCACATAATGAATTTTTATTCAAACCAAAAAATATAAGATTTACTGTTATGCAATATTGTAATAATTGTATAAATATCACCACATTTGTGAACGTATATTAGACCCACCAGCTGGTGTGTATTAGACGTGTTTACTCTTGAACATCGGCAAAAAATTTAACATTTCCACTACTTTGAGCTCAGTTTCAAGCCATTTCCAGAATTAAAACCAATCAAAATCATCTCTATTTCTGTAATATATCTTCCATTCTATCAAATGAGACCAAGAAATCGCAAATACAACTACAAAAAATGTACGAAAAAACACTGCAAAGTCGCTGTTTTAATCGAAAATTACAGTCTCAGTTTTTTTTCTCTCATTATGCACAGTGTGCTGCAGGATTTGTTTTATGTGGTGCACACATACCACATAGATGCATTCTCTCATATCTAGGCCCAAATTTACCACTCACAGCTTATCAGAGTGAGCTGAGCTCATGGCGTAGATCTACGGTTTGGACCCTCAACTCAAAGCCATAGAACTATGGTATAGACCCTGAAAGGGTTAAAGTGAAGTGGATGAATGAATAGCTGGCACCTTTTACCTTTACATCATAAAATGTAAGAAAACATCATTAATCATAAAGTTATTTGCTTACCCTGTAATTTGCCTGAAGCTCCCTGAACCCTCTTCCAGCTGTGCACATTACCACAGGTGTTGAGAATATGCCGAACCATCACATCTGGTGCCTTCTCCGTGATGTTGCCTACAAACACAGTCACTGCTGGCCCTGACGACTCAATCCGTTTGGAGTAGCTTGGAGGTTTCATGCCATGGTTGTTGGAAGGGCCCTGTGTATTTTTGTTGGTGGAGGTATCTGAGTTGACACTATGAACAGTAGGCCGGCTTGACACTGGGGTTGGAATTTGGGAGATTGCCTGCAAGTGCATTTTCTTCTTCAGTCCCGAAGTCCAACGGCATATCTATTATTTTTACACACGGCGTTACTATACATAAGACAGTACGCTTCCAATGCTAGATACAAACTACAAGGAAAAGTTTTAGTAGAAAGTTAATGGTATCACACATTAAAGAACTGTTTTTGCAGCAATTTTACTTACTGCAAATACACAAATCAAAATGGCAAACCATCTAGGTTACACATCTCTATACTATAACAATGACCTAGAATACCAACACTCAGTTCTCATTTAACACGTTTCACCCTTACCAAACCTTCAACCTACAAATGGATGGACAGTAGCCAGTAACTGATGGAAACCAGACATTCTCAAGACTACTAGCATTTTATGTGGTATGTGGTTTTGTAATTAGAAAAAAGTTTTGACCACATAGGTCATTCATTCCTCTTAGTAATAAAACACTTGTGTACATACACAACAACACACAAAAAAAAAACACACATGCATGCACTCACACCCAGACACGGCACTGTCTAAAACATTAGGGATGATCTGCGATTAGTGAATATTTATAGGACAGTTACCAGAGATCTGGAAGACAGTAAATTCTGCTCTTATATTTAATAAAGAAGAGAGAAGGCATTACACCACAGCCCAATTTCCCTGACATGCATACCTCGCAAAGTAATGGAGAAACTTATCAAGGGGGAGAGTGGTAGAACACTTGGAGAGAAGTGGCTTCATAAATGATAATTGGCATGAGTTTAGGGAGGGCAAATCTTGGCTTACTAACTTGGAGTTCTATGATAAAGTAACAGATGTGTAATGAGAGAGGGTTGGGTGGACTGAATTTTTTTTAAGACTACAAGAAGGTGTCTGATATTGTGCCCCACAAGAGGCTGGGCCCGGTCCAAGATCAGGCTCTCCTGATGGATCAGGGCTTGACCAACCAAGCTATTACTGCTGCCCAGATGCAGTCCAATGTACGAACACAGAGCAGCTGGTCAGGAACTGACTTTAGGAACCTCCCTATTGGTCTAATGGCAATTCCTCTTATGTATACTGTGAGGCTGTTGAATCATCTGGAGCCCTTGACACTTACTGTATTGTCTGTGTACTCACAGATCCCCCTGCTTTTCATTGAGGGTATGTAGTACTAATCTCCAAGCCTCTTTTGTAGCAAGTGATTTCAGTGTACCATTTGGGATTAGTCCCTCTCGGATTTTCAAGGTGTTAATTATAATGCATATTTCTCATCTTCATTCCAAGGAGTACAGGCCAAGGTACTCCAAACGCTCCCAATAATTAAGGCGATTGACTGAACTTTTACATGTAGTGAAGGTTCTCAACATAAAGATCTGCAATTTTGCCTACTTTATAAAAGGGGCTGTTGTGCACAGCAGTATTCCAGTCTAGAATGAGTAACTTAAAGAGGATCATCATTGGCTTGGCAGGGCTGAATGTGTCTTGGATGTAAATGACTGTTGTGTCAAATGAATGTGTCCCAGGTGTAGATGACTGTTCTACGTCAAATGAATGCATCCTGTATGTAGCTGACTGCTGTGTCAACTGTTTGTGTCCTGGAAGCAGACCACTATGTACTTGATGCAGAGAGATTAACACTCCTAAAACTTTCGAATGATGGCTGTCTAGCTCGAAGCTGTTTATAAACAAATCTGAGTATCACTCCAACACACTGCTCACTGCAATATCAAAGGCCATGGTGCAATCACTGTTTGGGTCGCTGGACTTCGTGTTCTATTCCTTCTCAAATCATGTAAATTCCTTTGGAAATATTTGCCACATTTAAGAGCCATCCCAGCACCTGCTGGTCATTTAACATATGTCAATGTTGAAGTGTACTGAATGGTAGAGAAGCTTGAAGGACCACAAACACCATGTATTTTTGTAAATTCAGGCTAATCACAGCTATAACAAATGGTAAGAAGCAAGTGAACCTCACCTGGCAAGTAGGCCACCATGCTACTAAGAGCTGCTTGCACTGTACATATACATTTTCTGGTGATGCCCACCTGGTTGATGTTCGAGCAGATGGTCACTAACAGAGGATGAAGGACTGCAGCCAGTAAATTTGGTCATTAATAAAAGTAGGAGCTGGTCATTAAGCAAAAGGAGGTTCCTAGGTTGTTTCCACCTGTTTCTTGAAATTATGTTAAGAAGTAACATATTAATACCAATAAATATTTAAGAGAGACCTATGCAATGCAAGTTAATGTTATGGAAATGTTTCACCAACCAGAAACTTTATCAATACAATACAAATATAAAAGCAGAAATAGGTAGTGGTGTGGAGATCAGTTGTTTTGGCAGGGTGCACAAAATGGTAAATAACATCACCTGATGGCTGTGTGCCAAGTCTTAAATCAGTTTGCCAAAACAATGGAGATACTGAAGTTCCCAGTGTTCTACATAATTGACCATGGTACAGGTGGGGTTAGAACCCATGGCAAGATTCTAAACAACAGCACATGTAACACCTCTTCCTTGATAAAGCCTCTTTTCACTTTTAAGTACGACAAACCCCAACCTTAATTTTAACTAAACTTGTGGCAGTCTCTTGTTGGTTAAGCCTCTACTTGTAGTGTTGGTGGTAATGGCTACTTAGATAAGGCATGAGAAATATTTACCACTAACTGTTGACGTGGTGGTGCTGATCCACAGACCATGACTTAACCCTTAAATGGTCCAAACGTATATATACATTTTTTCAACATTTGAAAGTATGTAAAAAAATGTAGATCTTCTTTCTTGTTTTACATTTAAAAATGTGTAAAAAAACTTTTATCTACTTTTTTTTTTTTTTTTTTTTGAAAATATGTAAAAAAAACGTAGATCTACTTTTGGAGCACTACGGATTTGAACATCGATCTGCTTGGACCTTTAAGGGTTAAGTAAATTACTACCCGAGGAATATGAAGTCAAACTTCCCTTCCTCAATGTGCTCCTACGTAGATTTAGAGATAAGCTATCTTTAAAAATTAGCAGAAACCAACTGAAAAGGATGTTTTACTGTACTTCCACTTGGACTATGACTACAAGACGAAATTCGGAGTTGTCACTATTCCATAATTATCTGAGGACCTACAAAGTATGTATCCCTTTTGATACAGTAGACCACAACATCCTGCTGATCAAATTGAAACATAAAATCAGAAGCCATGCTCTCACATATATCAAATCTTACCTCAATGACAGACACCAACATGTAACCACTAATGATAAAGCCTCATGAACTAGGCCAATTAACATAGAGGTGTCCTAGGGCAGCATCCTAGACCTATTACTATGTACGTACATGCCAAGGTATCAGTGGTGTAAGCCAATTCTGAGGAATTGATATCAGCCTACAGTTGAGTATCAGTATCAACATTAGTGAGTATCAGCAAATTTTGATGGTATTTGTATCAGGTACATGCGTACTAATTTTAATGATATCAGTATCTGCATCAGTCTAAAACTGAGTATCAGCATCAGCAAAAGAAAATTTGGTAACATCACATAACTCTACTCTTTACTATTCCTCATGAACATCACTGACCTTCCTAATGTCTCACAGGAACTTTAACCAACTATGGTTATGGTTGTAAATGACAACTTTTACCTCAAAAACAGACATCGTTAACATTCTTAAAGACAAGCTTGTAAAGATATCTACCCAGATGACAACCAACAAAATCAATAGACAAAACTTCCTGGATAATGTTTGGAAACAAAGCTAAAAGTATTCAAATGAATACAGTGGACCCCTGCCTTACAAACGCATCGCGTTACTTTAAATCTGCCACACAAGCATTTGAACGCAAAAATTTTGCCTCGCCTCACTATAAAAAACTTGCCTTACGTGATTCGTCCGGGACGCGTCCCACATGTGGCCTCAGCGCCAGTGTTTACAAGCCAGCCAGTGGGGTTGCATTTATGCATACATTCGGTGCATTTCATATTATCCTAGTGTTTTTAGTGCTTGTAACTGCAAAATAAATCACCATGGACCCCAAGAAAGCTTCTAGTGCCATCCCTGTGGTAAAAAGGGTGAGAATTAGTATGGAATTGAAAAAAGAGATTAAGGAAATGTGTGCAAAGTGGGTTGAACTGCAAACCTTTATGGATGAAAATCACCCTGACACAGCTACTGCAAGCTATGTTGGCAACCTGTGTAATGACAATGTTATGGCCCATTTTAGGAAAGTCTTAAAGGAGTGGGAGGTACAGGGCTCTATGGACAGATTTGTTGTGCGACAGAGGTCCAGTGACTCTCAAGCTGGTCCTAGTGGCATTAAAAGAAGAAGGGAAGTAACCCGGGAAAAGGACTTGCTACCTCAAGTCCTAATGGAAGGGGATTCCCCTTCTAAACAATAACTTCCACACTCTCCCCTCCTCCCATCCCATCAATCATCACCAGATCTTCAATAAAGGAAAGTGTCATGTATTCTATTCTTAGTAGAGTAGTAATTGTGCATGTCTTCTTCAGTTTGTTTTTTTTTTTTTTTTTTTTTCAACAAGTCGGCCGTCTCCCACCGAGGCAGGGTGACCCAAAAAAGAAAGAAAATCCCCAAAAAGAAAATACTTTCATCATCATTCAACACTTTCACCACACTCGCACATTATCACTGTTTTTGCAGAGGTGCTCAGAATACAACAGACTAGAAGCATACACATATAAAGATACACAACATATCCCTCCAAACTGCCAAAATGTATTAAAATTAATATTTCATGTGGTAAAAAATTTTTTTTTTTCATACTTTGGGGTGTCAGGAACGGATTAATTTGATTTCCATTTTTTCTTATGGAGAAAATTAATTCGGTTAACGATAATTTCGGCTTACAATGAGCTCTCAGGAACAGATTAATATCGTTAGGCGGGGGTCCATTGTATATAATTAAATAATGCATGCATCAAATGGCAAGATAAGGTTAAAATTACCATATCTACACCTTGACAGTTGACTAAAATTTAACACACTCATCCAGAAAATGGCTAAGAAAATTTCCACAACAGAGGGCATACCTTAAAAGATATGCTATGTGCCTCAAACATC